AACGCATGATTTGCCTCTCCACCCCAGGGGCGGATCTAGAGGAGGGCGAATGGGGCTATCGCCCCCCTCCCCGTTCCCGTAGCAGACTTTAGTTTTTGACGTAATTACTTCAAGAATAAATCGGGAAATCTTAAACTATTTTTTTTTATACCAAACTTATGCTGATGCTATATTATCACTTATATTTATTACATGGTGATATACTGATATTACAGTTATATACTATGATGTTAAATATTCGTAACCAAGTTTTGTGTTTGTAGGTGTTTCCCATAGATAATATAAGAATTATATCTTATATTATTTATGGTGTTTCCAAAACATGATAACTGATAACGACCAACGTAAAAATCGTTCGGTACCTCCATAATCAACAAATTTGTAATTATAAACTCTATTGTTATGAGACATATTGGAATAACTAAAAAAATTATTATTATTATTTTTTTTATGTTTTTTTTTTTAAATAACCTATATCAAAATTAATATTTTTAATTTTATCTATATAAATATCTATATCATGTGTGTCTGTTAAAAATCTCCCCTCCCCCCGTTATCTTGGTCTGGATCCGTCCCTGCATCATCCTACCTAAATGACGCCACTGCAAAGCACGAATGTTTTAATCTATACGACAGAGTATAAATAAAGAGAAATTAATCATATTTATCCAAAGTACGTATAAAAGCACACATAAAGTTGGTTTAGTCGTTTATGCGTTGCAAACGTAGAGCAGTGCTTGATAATTATTATTGTTCCAAAAACATTTCGGTCAGCGCCCCCATAAGTGAAACATGTTTATCAGTAAGTCCAATACAAAGTGTATCAATACACCTTGTTCCAATAATAATCATCCGAGATAAGAACGAGCCAAGTTCGCGAGCAACCAGTGGTGATAAGAAAAAATCTTAACCCACAGAGATACGTGTTATCACGTAGACGGTCTTATCGTTCAACGCACTCGGCCGCAGTTGTGCATTGCATTTCGTAACATTTGAAACTTGATAAAAATAGTATTTTAATGCAATATAATTATTTATAATTTGCAGGAAAAAAATCGTTGTAGCTAATCGATTAGGCACTCGCCGTCTCGTCACGTAGCCGTTTTCGTAGGTAAATAAACTATTTATTTCGTTACTGTTAGTGTGGAATACGATCGTTCATGCTAATATAATACGATAAATTCAGTATCCGGTAAGTAATATATTGTGTACCTACGTCAACCGTCATTGTAAAAATATTTCAGTAATGATGTGCTGCTGTTATCATCCATGTGTGTTGCGCACTGAAAAGCATAAATTCATTACACTGAATAACACTGTATCATAATCTCTGTTAATCCCGAACAAGTCGTGTACTTGGTTTTGTGTTTTATGGTTATCTGTGCGCTATGATAACCGGTGTTGTCGTGTTGATAACAACAGTTTTACATTTTTAAAATTCTTGGTTGTAGAAGTCACTGATAAATTATTGTTAAATATAAATTAATCCAGTGGCGCCGAACTCTATGCTTAAGTCAGGCCGCAGCCGATCTGTGGTTTGCATTTTGCAGTATTCTGACATAACGATTATTTTCTTGAGAAATGCCGGATGAATGGTATGGAAATGTTCAAATGTAAATTGCCCAAATTAAAACACATAATAAAATATTTTGCGGAACGTTATGGTACAGTCTGTCGGTACGTGTCTGATTATTATAGTATGAATCATGCTCAATACTTGTAATTTGAGAGCATTAATTATTTTCCTATGGAAAGTAAAAATTTGGACTGAGTAAAATCTTAGATGTTTGGCTCCACTGATTTAATTGGTATCAGTTTAATTATAACCATTTTTAATTGATTACCTTTATTTGTTATTTCTTCTTCTTCTTCTTTTGTTGGCATTTAATACTCTTGGAGAATTTTTGCTGCCATCACGATCTGCCTCCATTCTTCTCTGTTATGAACTGATGTCCTCCACTCTCGTACTCCTATTTTCTTGAAATCTTCATCTACTATATCCAACCATCTTTTCCTAGGCCGTCCGCGAGGCCTCTTACCCATGGGTCTCCATTCCAGCACCGCTCTAACCGTCTCGTCCTCACTTTTGCGCATTACGTGACCAAGCCATTGTATTCATTGACTACCAATAAAACTAGTGACAGGTGCCAGTTCTAACTCATCCTGTAATTCACGATTAAATTTTCTTCTCCATACACCTGTTCTGGTTTCATAGACAGGACCACAAATTATTCTCCATATTTTATTTTCAAACGTCCTTAATCTCCTTTCCGTGTTACTAGTGGTTGTCCAGGTTTCACATCCATAGGTTAACGTGGGCCTTATTATAGCCGTGTACAATCTTGCCTTTGTTTTCTTTGAGAATAATTTGGATTTCAGAAACTTAGTGCGAATGCTGCCCTTTCAGCCTTTGTTATTCTTATTCCGATCTCTTTTGACCAATCATTTTTGACACACAGCATGACTCTTAAATACTGGAACTCGTTAACTTTTTTAAACACTATGGCTTCATTTGTTATTTAGTTATTCGAATTTCTATAACTTGTATTAAAAGTCTTTTAGTAAAATAATAGTATTACATATCCGTCACTAATATGATTTAATTTTGGTTAACACGTTCAATTATTTTGTGGCAATTTGTATTAGTGTCTACCTAATTAAATAACGAAAAACAATAAAATTAGAATTTTTTTTAACATACAGGGGATACTATAAATTGATAAACTATCAATATCAAATAATAAAATGATAATAGTTTTCTATCATATTATGAAAATATTATGCATTATATCTATACTTTATACTAATATATAATTTTTTTAAAAGGAAACTCATGAATGCTTTGCTTTGGGTTTAAATTGTTATGTTTTTAAAATCATTTCCATTTATTGACAAGTTTACATCGATACCGAACAATTTAAATTTATTACATTTAAGCTGTGGTCAAAAGAAAATGAGTACTTTAGAATATGTTATTGATGGTTGGAATGATGTCCAATCTAGAATTAAAGCAGTGATTCAAAAACGAAAACAGTCAGATCAGGTATACAATAATTTTAAACTTGTTAATTTTTTAAGTGTAGGTATAATAAAAAAAATAATAATATTACCTTTTCAGAGTAATATAGAGCCAAGATTAGTTGCTGTTAGTAAAACAAAACCTATTGAACATATTATTGGCATTTATCAGCAAGGTCAAAAATATTTTGGTGAGAACTATGTCCAAGAGTTACTTACTAAATCATTTGATGCCGAAGTATACTATTTGATATCTTAAAAATGTGCTTAATTCAATTATTTAAAATATTACATTTTTGTAAAGATATTAGAAAAATGTCCTGACATCAAATGGCATTTTATTGGTCATTTACAAAAAAATAAAGTTGCAAAAGTGTTATCTGTTCCTGGCTTACATGTTATTGAAACTATAGATAGTGAAAAATTAGCTAATGAAGTTAATGATAAATGGAAAAAACTTAACAAAGATAATAAACTGAAAATAATGGTTCAAGTTAACACTAGTAATGAAAAAGGTTGGTAAACTGATGAAATATCATTTTGTATAGTTGTAAATTATTTATTTCACTTTTAAAATCATTACTGAACAAATTTAACATAATTGTATGTTATTAATATATTTATAATAATTACATATTATAAGAATATTTTCATGGTTTTTTCAATATTTATAATTACAGAAAAAAATGGTGTTTCGACTAATGAAGTAGTGGATTTATATAAACATATTATTGACAAATGTGAAAATTTAAAACTGATTGGCTTAATGACAATTGGTCAATATGGCTATGATTGTTCTCTGGGACCAAATCCAGATTTTTTGGTAATTATAAATTATTTCAAATGTGCTCATAACATTATTCTATTTTTATATTTAAATCAATTTTTTAGGCCTTAATTGATAGTAGAAAAAATGTTTGTGATAAATTGAAATTAAATTTATCTGAAGTTGAACTATCCATGGGAATGTCTGATGATTTTGAACATGCTGTAAGTGTATAAATTGTGTTGATCTTTAAAAATAAATAATAAATAATTATTTTATTTCATACTTTTTATTAATATTTTTTTTAACATTACAGATTGAACTAGGGAGCACAAATGTTCGAGTGGGAAGTAGTATCTTTGGATATCGCCCCAGAAAAGAAAGACAATAATTTATTCATAAGATTTCATAAAAATAATAAATATATTTTTTTTTTTTTTTTGAATCTATAGTTATACCATGAAAATAATCTAAGTACTTAACCTTAAATATTTAAGATATTATTTATAACTTAAAAGTATTACTTAATAAATTTTATGTGATTTATTAAGTGATAAATTCAAAAAAAAAAAATGTTTAACATAATGAATATATTATAAATGTCAGTGTTTTATTTAAATATTAATTAGTTTAGTGATGAAAATTAAACATATATATCAGTGGTGTATTTAGGAATTTTTCATAGTAGGATCCAGCTAATTTTCCAAACACATTTAAATGGGGGACTCCACCCCTTCTCTTCCTCAATATAAAACCAATTACACATAAATGTTTATAAAAATATTATTAACATTACTAACATTCAATTTTCCTATATTTTTCAATCTACAATTCAACAATCAAATTCTACAATATGGTTTAGTGAAAGGTTATCATGATTAACATCTAGTAAAGCACACTCGGTTAAAATAAGATTAGAAAGTTTTGAAAAACTGGCAGATAATTTAATAATAGTAATACCTATGTACGGAAGGGATCTTACAAATTTTAAACATTGGAATTAAAAAAATAAAATAGCTTTACGAAAGTATGAATATATAAACAAACATGAACATTTGGTGACTTTTACTTCTAAATTTCGACATAAGGCGACAGAAAGTTGAAATAAATAATGGGAAGTAATAATAATTATCTAGTAATACTATTTGATTTATCGTTATATTATAGTCACAGTACAAATGATAATTTATATTTTAAACTATGGGTAAACATAAAACTACGATTCGAATATCGTATTCGTAGTTTCGTACCTACTCACTTACTGATAATATTGTAGCTTGCCGCCGGTTACTTGACGGTGCCACATTAATGTTAAATTACTAAGGTGTAAGGATTGGGACAAGTTCAATGAAAATATACTTGTTAAAAATACTTTTTACAGTATTGTAGGTTATTTATTTTAATACAGAAAAATCAACAAAGTTACAATTATGACGGTAACTGATATAAGCAGAGCTTTTATACGGTACCTATGGCTGGATACGTCTGAATTTAATGCCGATCCGGAGCCCTTATATATATTGATGCATGGCCTTCTGTTGCTGACTCGATGCGAATTATTCGTTCTTGTAGATGGCACATTAATAGAAAACACGTTTGCACGTGTACAATGTAGGTAGTTTTCTGAGAATTTATATTTTACATCCTAAATATAAGCTACTGATCTTCTAAACTATGTGAAGCGTTACAAATACGTTTTCTCATGCACATCATTATTTGTATTAGTGACGTATGGCAAATTACAACATCATCAGGTTTTTGCGTGTTACATTATTGTTTTATATTAGTAATATGTGGCATATAATAATATTGTTGCCCTCCAAAACTTGTAAAATAGTCCACGAGGCGCGTTGCATTGCAACTTGCATGAAACTTATATCAGTCCCTTTTTTTAATAAAAATTCGTATTACACATTTTTTAATGTACAATGATATGATACAGAGCCCCTTCTACCCGCTTCCATATGATTATAATTTTTAGTAATAGTTCTTTTTTATTAATAAAATTGCGCATTATAATTAGGTAACTAACCAAACTACCAATCTGTTATTATTTTTTAAACTGAAAATATACTTTTGTCTGGTATAAATCTGAAAACTATTTGAAGAGTGAATGTGTGAAACGTTCTATGTGCCAAAAAAATGAAAAAATTGTTTTATTTCTGATTTATGTTCCATGTGCTAAAGGCAATAATTCTGTATGTTTTCCAAGTGTCAATTCGATTCGATTTATTACTAGTTAAAAATTACGTTTATAGATGGAAACTGTTCTATGTGGCATGCCTATTATCACATGTGCATTCCAAGTGCTTTGTGCAATTTCTGGATGTGTGAACAAACATGCGATACTGGAGCCCCACCAACCCGAGGGAATTTCATGAGCAGCCTTTGCATAAAGAACATGTGATTCTTTGGTGTGCAAATCCAGAATAGGAATTTTCGGCCCATGGTTCTTTGAAGAGAACGAAATAGCAGTTACGGTCAATTCTGAACGTTATTATGTCAGCATGATTATGGATTTTTTCTGCCCAAACTTCAAGAAATGACTGTAGGGGAAGTGTGGTTAACATGATGGCGTCACGGCTCACACGGCAAGAATGTCAATGAATATCTTGTGTGAAAACTTTCCCGAACGGCTCATTTCTCTTAGAGGCGATCTTCAGTGGCCAGCGCGCTCGCCAGATTTAGCCCCATGTGGGGTTACTTTAAATCGTTGGTGTACACGGATCGTCTAAAGATCCTTCGTCATCTCAAAAACAATATTTGTGCTGCTATTGCCTACATAAGCACAGATATGCTGGAAAAATGGACAACAATTTCAAATTCCGACTATCTCAGTGCATTGACGAGAACGGTGGCCACCTACAAGATGTCGTTTTTAAAACCAAATAGAATAAAACTTTAAATGTACCCTTATACACAGAAAAAATAATTAAATCAATATTACTAATACTTTTTGTGTTAATTTTTTAAAATAAGGAAGTAACCACGCCCCATCCTGTATTACGCCCTGAACATATTTTCTAACATTTATAACCAATATTGTTATTATATTTAATCAAAAGTTTTCTTTAAATTTTAGTTAGGTCTGTTAATTTATTATTTGTCTATTATTTGTTATAATTAAAAAACGTATTGCTTTTTGTTATATTCTGAAATGAAGGAAATATGTTTATTTTACGTTCTAAAATGTATTAAGTCGTTATAAAGTTCAATCAAGAAATTTTTTTTTAAAATTTTTATAGTTTGTTATTTTATTTTTCAATATGTGATACTTAAAAATGATTCGTTTTTTTTTTACATTTTGAATGAACTAATGAAGAAAATATGTCTATTTTACATATAAGTTGTAATTTTGTTATATTAATATAAAATAGAATAATTATTGAATAATAAAATATTGTTACTTGGAACAATAATCACACCATTTGGCACTTGGAACCATCATTAGTAAATGTTTAATTTTAACTAATAAGATATAATAAATATAATAATGGAACTTAACTAGGCTATAAATGTTGTTTAAATATATCACATATATTTTTACACATAGTTATTATATATTATATTGAATGTTGTATTTTTTTCTTGTGTTTTCTGAAAAATTATTTTTTGGCACATAGAACATTTGACACATCCACTCTTAATTTACAAATTATTAATTTTAATGTGGGATATATAATTTAAAATTTAATTGATAGATATTTAAGTCCTCTTAGCTGTCTTGCTTAAACTGGCTTCATAAAAAACACCTTCATGGTAGTCTTATTTATTAGTAGGTATTTAATAGGTACACACTTCTTGAATCCGTAGTGCATACTTCCAGATTCGGACTACACACTTTGTATCGGGGTTCATTAAAAAAATGAGGGCTGGCCTAAATGTGTAATAATATTGTAGTTATGGTAATATGTAGCTAACTAACTCGTCTCTCTCGTTACAAATAGGTCCACATCTGTGTATGTAATTTATCTGTTAAAAATTATTTTACAACACTAGTAATTTATCGAGAAATGTAATATAATATTAAAGATAATTCTAATTTTTACTTTACCCAATAAAATCGAATAGTTTTGTAGGTTTTCCAATAAACATGAACGTCGATCAAATCAAAACCGGCTTTGGAGGGAAAAAAAATAATCGGAAAAATTACTCTGGTTAGAAATATTAGGATTAACTCCAACTCTTAGTCTTTCTCCCCCTACGATTATTTCAATTTAAAACGTATAAATTTATTTTCGGAAATGGAAAATAATAACCAGTTTCATAGGAAGAACCGACGAAAATAGAACTGTATTTGCAGTCGAAGACGAAGAAAAAGATAGCTACACTGCAGATATGGATTCGCATCAAAAACTTTTCCGTAAAATATTGATGGGGAGAGCTTATCAAATTATGGCAAGTTAAATTTCTTATAAACATAAGAACCGGGTTTAACCGATAGACCATCATTTATGTGCAGATGATTTCGGATGTGATAAAATACAAACCGTTGGCAAGGTTAGAAAAGGACAACTACCGACCAGTGGACATGGGAGGTGACGAAGGGACATCAGTAACGAAACCGGTGAAAAAAATTAATAATAAACTCATAGCGTGTACATGTATACTTATGTGTGTAGGACAAGCACAACGACGAAACCGTTACTTGTAATTTACGAAACACGTACGCTAGAATTGGTCGATTTTTTGATACGATTTCCAAGGAAGCGACTATGATACGTGACGACGGCGAAAACGTCTGGTTCGATGAGATTGCGAGAATGACTAGGATCGAAAGAGAGGCTGTAGAAGCTAAGAGAAGACAAATAGAAATTAAAGCTCGCGGCGAACAAGATGAACGGTTCAAACAGGTGATTATAATAAAAATTGCATTTCACGGGGTCGTGGATAGAAACCCTACATTGCATACCATCCTTCCGATGCATATCACTCCAATGTTGATTTACACGTACCCACAACGTGTTTCCAACTGCTATTACTGCGTGCATCGTTTGGACCCATTTTTCCTGGGTTCCTAACGCGCGGCCCGGTTGCCCTATGCGATCTCCGAGTAATTCAAATGTTTGCTCATGCAAAACGTGTAAAGTCCGCGCACCTAGGCGTTAGGACCATCGATATAGTATCAATCGAAACACTTTGAGGTATAGGTTAGTCGCCGTCGAATGTTCACAAAACACTTTTAGAAATATACTAGAAACAACGGTGAAAACATCACTTTTATGTCTAATTACATTTTAAGAGTACGATTACAATATTAGGTGATCGACCATTTGAGGATAGGTGGTTTTACGTAAACATTTCGTTTAATCAGGTCATGGAAATCCACCAAGAAATAAGCAAATTGGTCAGTGATCGGCTTACGGACCACGTGATCGACGAGTACGCGAACGAAGTGGCCGTAACACTGTTGAAGAACGCTATCGCAGACCAAAACAATACCCGGTACGAAACATTGTTATGTTTTGACTATTTTATGATTGTGATTTACGTTTGCTTTGTTATAATTTAAAATAGACGCGATGACGAACACATCGAACAAGACCTACAAGAGTTTTTGATGCACTCAGCGAATACGACATGAACGGCAATCAGTTTTTTCTTATCAAATACACTTCGTTACACCGTAATCATCCAATAAACACGTAACAGTTACCATTTATGTAAAAAGATTCTTTCTGTCTAGTAATTTTTTGTTAAATTATAAATTCAGTATATATTTTGTACTAAATTATGATACCAAAAGAACTCCGTCCTTCTATCGTTGATTTGATCTGAGGGATGCTAGGGAAAATCCAGAATATGAAAATCATAATTTTGACAAGGTAATTGTAATAAAGGGTGGTTACGCAACAAACTTTAAATTACTTGTACAGCAAACTATTGCCGGTCCGCTATCGTCTATACGAGTAAATTCCACAATACTAAGATAGCAATGGATTTGGTAAAATGTACAAACCCTGATTTTTGTTCAAAAAGAAAAATTGATATCATTCTAGGATCAGAGATTTTCTTTGAACTGTTTTTTTTTTTAACTCAAATGGCTTTGCAGAAAACTGTCTTCGGGTGGATCCTCTCAGGTATCGTCACGTCAAATAATTCTATCCAACGTCTTCTGGCAATGAACACTGAAACTGAATCACTACACTTCAACCAGATTAAAAGCTTCTGGGAGATCGAAGAAGTCGTGAAGTATCTATAGTAAAAACACTTGCTACCGAAGAGGACTAATGCAAGACGCATTTTGCGAATGCGTGTCATCGAGAAAATAATGGTTGATTTGTACTAAAACTACTTCAGAAGTGTTCAACTGAGTTTCGCGAAAGATGGCGGAAAGGCGATTTTAGGCAATGAAAAGGAAGCTGAAATTAAATCCTGATTTATAGGAAAAATACGCAGAATTCATACACGAAATCATAGGTTGAGCTATTAATAGGTAACGAAACGAATAGTAATTAATAAATATTAAAACGCTTACATTTCAGATAAAAACATCATCGATATAAAATTAGGTTAAAAACTTTCCTAAATTATAGTTTTAGTCAAAATCGACCATTATTTACTTAATGACACGCATTTACGAAATGAGTGAAGATAACTTCACGATTTTTTCGATCTTCCGAAAATTTTTAATCTTATATTAAAGTGATTCAGATTCAATTGTCATTTCCGAGAAATATAGTATTGAATTCTTTGACGTGACGACACCTAAAAGGATCTACCCTAAGACGGTTTTTTGTAAAATTGTTTGAGCTCCTATGGGCTTTATCTGACAAAAATACAAGAGTTTAAAAAAAAATCTCTGATTCAACTAATTTTAACTATTGAATCTTAAAGCATGCGTAAATGTTTTTAACATAAGATTTCTAAAAAATTATTGTGCTAACATCATAAACGAGGAAAAATGTAATACTATTTCTAAGTTTATCTCTATATCAGTATTAAGAATATTTAAAAATAATCAGTTACGACAATTATCCAACAAGTTGCTATGCGAAATACAAGATACTTTCCACTACGCGACAGCTCTACTACAGAAAACATAGAAACATAGTAATAAAACTAATAGACTACGAAATTACGTTAAATTTGATAATAATTCTACTAAATTAAAATCTGATGTTACTCATTTGCGCCAAAGAAGGTATGTTTTCGACAGCCCATTTGCGCCAAATTTACCTACGTAAATATTTTACATAAACGACTTGGTTAATATTACAGGCGTCCTGTCTGTAACGTATAATAAGGTAATTTTTATAATTATAAAAACAAAAAATTAACGTGTTATGAATATGTAAAAATACTTACATTTAATCACAATTAAGATTAGGATAGTTTGTTAAAAAAATCATTACTTATATTTTGTTATAATTATTTTTTTAATAAAATTATATATTATTATAATTATACCAGATAAAATTCGCATAATGAGCTGTTGGAAAATACATTCGTTTTTTTATTTTATACAAGTGTATTGTACCCAAAACGAACTAATTTTTTTGACGCAAATGAACGATGCCCTTAAACTCAAACGCCAGACGCACGGGAATTAAGTCGAAGTTTTATGGATCAATATATCCAAATAAAAAAAAAAAAACAACGAAATTAGTTCAGAATATGAAAACCATTTTGTATTAAAAACGTATAAACTTATGAAAACAAAAGTATGGTGTATGTGTATTAAGTGCAAATAACATAACAAAACGAATAGTAAAAAATAAATTAATAAATATGAAAACGCTTACATTTAAGGTAAAAACATAATCGGTATAAAATTATTGAATATTTAATTTATTCCACAAGATAGTAAATTTATAATAAATAGTATTAAAAAGAAAATAAGTAAATGCGATTGTTATTAATATTGAGCATGTTTACCGATTATAATAAATTTAAATTAAACAATAAATATATATTATATAATAAATTCGTATTAAATAAAAAGTGACAAGTTTGTACAATATAATTTAATGACTGGTAACCATTGAAATTAGCAATTTTTTCGTTTTTTGGTAAGATATATATATTTATAATTAAAATGATTAGTTTTAATTTAAGTACAATTTGTAATATTAAATTAATCAAATATAATATAAAATTGAAAAAAAAAAAAAAAATGATGAACGCGTGAAGAACATTAACAATGTGATATGGTTATCAAAACGAGAAGATAATAATGGTAAATATTATATAGCAGTCTTAAGAGTTCGCAACGAAAGCACGTAAGAATTACCTATGTAATAAGATAAAAATTGTAATAATAGTAATTATACAATGCAAAAAGTTGAATAAAATTTGATTAAAATGAACGCTGTGTTCGATGTTTCTCAGGTATTACGTAAAAGTCAGTGAAATATAGGCTTGGTGTTATACCCGTGTATTATAATAAGTAGTAGTTTCAACGAGGCGTCAGCTGTTCGGGGACAATGTTACGACTTTTCATGTAGCCGACCAACTGAGTCGGTATTTCGGCCAGCACCTCGCGGGCTAGGTACGATTTGGCGTTCAACGGATTCTCGATCTGCTGAAAGTCCTTAAACGGTACGAACTGCACGATGTCGCGGGCCGCGCTCACTCCGTTTACCTGCAGCGTTACCGAGTCGCCGTCCAACTCTTCCATTGACTGGAAGTCCGCGTTTCCCACGCCCACGATGATTATGGACAAGGGCAGCGTGGACGCTTTGATAATAGCCTATAAGGGAATATACAATGTGATTTATCAATCTACTGTTCTACACATACCTACGCAACAAGACTATAGCGAGGCAGGGACGAAAAACACTTAAATATCAATAATGTATATGTATATCGGGAAACATTAGACTTCCTCCTCTTTCGACGAAATTTCAACTTAACGAATTGTTTTCGAATTCTAACCGTCAAGTTTATCAAACAGAGGTTCAACTGTATGCGTACAAAAACTACTCGTATAGAGCTGTGATAACAGGATTTGCGGACCCGGGATGAACGAGAATAATTCGAAGTACACACGTTGTAACCAAATTAATAGTTTAAAACTTGAAATCGTTAGAATCGGAGTGTAATAATTCCTTGGGCGAACGTTGAAAGACTCTTAGACCTATTACTAAAGTTAACTTCCAGCAGAGGACAATTTCGTGTTTTTGCGCTGCGATTAAGTCCTGTAGTCGAGTTAGTGTTATGCAACGTACAAGCGGTTACGTATATTATATATAATAATTTAAAAAGAAAACTACGAGGGGAATACAATTTTAATTAAAATCTTTTATAGGTACCTTTTCAATAATCCTGGCTATACCCCGCTGCAGGTTGTTAATATGATATTATGATATCGATTCTAACAATTATTTTTTTATTTTTATAGACCACAAATGCACACATCAATGTAATATAAATCGTTTACCACGACGTGAGCTTTTTCGGATCACAAAACGCATGAAATACACATTACTGTACAGGTACACATATACAAAACATAATCCGCACACATCGTTTTTTCTTTATTAATATTGATATAAATAAATATATAAATATTATACCATATTTGTGTATTCGTAACAAGTTTACATAACACAATATATAGTTAAGATTTTATCAATGCATGAACATAATATTATAGTGAATAACATTGAAAATTAATAATATGATAAACAACGACGACATTATAATATTATCGTAGCGTAAATCGTACACACACACACAAATATATATAAATAAATTAGTAATTAGTAATAATTAATAAATCGTTCAACACACAGAAAAAAAAAAATAGATTACTGCCGCGCGAAGATATGCGATTTTGTAATAATTATTCACGATTCGATAGTGCGGGTACGTACGTGTTCTTGCGAAAAATAGAAAATGAAATACGTCCGAGATTCATTAATAATAATAAGAGCAACACAATTAATTATTAATACGTATTATGACGACGAATAGATGCGCCGTACATATGATGCTGAAAACAAATAAGTACGCGACGATTCCAATTAAAATATTATTCAATTGTTTGCGTGATTAATTTATTGCGCATTTCACGTTATGCCGAAACCATTTGATACGATTGTTGCACGAGTGCACGGCATGCACTCGTTCAGTTAGCCTGGTTTTCGATTGTTCAAAAACCCCAGTACAAACAAGCACACACGATTTGAAAATAATCCGGAATGAAACGAGCTGCGTAATAGTAAATACGTAGTTAGTTACAATCAGGCGAATCCGTTGTTTTTCGCCGGCCAAAAACGAGAAAAAGCGCGTGTTAAACGAAACCGGGTCTCATTAATTTATTGGTCATCGAAAACAGTCTTGTAAAATCCGATGACCAGATTTAAACGTACGAGCGTGTACACATCAATCACAACATAATTATCATAGGCGGAAATAAAGTTTTACATTCGAATGGGCCATTTCGTTTACGACTTTCATTTGTCGTCCCCATTAGGTCCAATAAACAAATTTACCATTTTGAACTCATAATTTTCTTCCAATAATAAAATTACACTACCCAGTGTCCCTATTATTCTTAAATGTAATATATTTCCATATTTTTACAGTGAACTGTTACAATTGTTTTCTGTTTATTACTATTATTACTATTAATAGGGCCAAGTATTTTCAGATAGGACCATAACCTTACCTGACACCACTACTAAAAAGTACCCATGTTATAATAACTTGATAAATTTTACTTTAATTATAATTTTTTTTTTTAACATTAGGGTTTATTTTGTCAAGCCCCATCGTCGCCCAGCACACGCCTTAATTCCGCCTATGATGATCATCAAATAAATAGTTAATACACATAGTAGATAAAATTGTACATAAATAGATAATGTATAAAAGAAACAGCATCCACACAAAACTTAAAAGTCTAAGAGTTAACATTAAATCTAAAAAGAAATCACAACAATTTTTCAATTACATTTGACCAAGTACTTGCTATTGTTTTTACACATAAATTATAATCGTTAAATTTGAGTATGACGTATTTACGTTAATATTAACGTGATATTATAATGAAACAAAAAGTACAAATATGAAGAAATGACACAAATGATTAACTACAATAATTATGGTTGGTATAAACAGTAAACAATTAGGAAATTGGACTAAATCCTTTTATTGATTCAACTATTTAAGCTAATGTATTTCGAAAATGAATCATATTGTTGTTGATTGTTTGTGGTATCAGTAACTAGTACACTTAAAGTTATTGATAGTTACCGTATATCTATTCAATACTTAAGTTTAAAGTAACGTACAATATTGCAATTGAATAATTTTTAATATCCGTACATTTCTACCTTAATAAAAAGGTTTATACAAAAGTGTTATGGTTTAGTCCAGAGGTTCCCAACCGGGGTGCCGCGAAATTATTTGAAATATGTATTTATTTTTTAAACGCCTTTATGAAAGATATAGCACTGTGAGTAATAAAACAGACTCTATACTCTATGTCCATAGTATAAAATCTATTGTGTATAATTAATTAGGTATATACAATATAATATAATGAATTAATTATATAATACATATAATTTTTACATAGTAATACTGCGATGTTCAATCTATTTTAATTTCCATACTGGTTCGATTGCTATCAATTCGATGTGAACTATTTTAAAGTTATTTACGGTGAAATACTTGTCATTTTATCTTATCTTTATTGTTTATTAATTATCAAATAAAACTGAAGTTACAAAATATAAATTTAAATATACGATATATTACTATTGCGCATTCAGTATAAACTATAGAGTATTGATCGGCATAGACTAAGGGTGCCTCCGAATTGTTAGAAAATATTTAAGGGTGCCGCGAGTCAAAAAAGGTTGGGAACCTCTAGTTTAGTTTATAACACCACAGTACTTCTATTTTTAGTACAATCATCAATAGCTATTATATTTATAGAGTATTATTACATGATTGAATCTAACCATTTGATATGATTTTATTTTTTAAATTTTTAAAAACCAGATGAATAAACGTAAGGATGGTACTGTGGCAGTGATGCAACTAATAGAAAAAAATGAGTTTTCAATTAAATTTGTTACAATGTGTAGAAGTTCAATATATAAAATGATCAAGTTTAATGCATTAATGTTTATGGTTTATTATTTTATAATTTTACCATGATCAATCAGAATAAATTCATCATGTATAATATTATGGATATCCTTGTGTAATAGAAATATGTTGCACAAACAATGGTACTTTTAGTAATTTATGAAATCACTTAGTCTCTTTATTTTTCAATGGAGAAGTCTCTTAAAGTATGTATATGTAACACAACATCCAAGAATGTCTAAGGTAACACATTAAATATATATATAACATTATCATGACCTTATTTTCTAACAACTGGTACATTTTACAAAATATTAAAATTTAGTATTATAAGAGTAAAAATTAAAATTAAGATATTAATAATTAAATTTATAATAATTCATAATAATATTTATGGAATTTGGTCAACAATATATGCATTTGTAAAAAAAACGTATGGGACAATAAGTACATAGATTTTAAAGTATTTGGTAACTTATTACCATGCACACAATTCAAATGTATATTGAGGACACATATTTTAATGGTAAATATTTTTATTATAGTAAACAATTAATTAATTAATATTACAATATTATAATGTAATAATAAGTAATAAAACAGATTATAATTTTTCTATGGTAACAAATAATTATCAACATGATAGGGGAAAAATGATTATATTTTATTATTTGTTAATAAAAAAATTGATTAAATTCATAAAAGTGAGGCTAATCAATTTCCCAAGATTATAGATAGTTAAGTATCAGAAAATAGAGAATTGAAAATATTGATTACATTTTTGTCTACTTACTCAATTGGATTACTAACCTTGGAGTAATAAAGAATACAATAATTTTTGACATTGAAAATGAATACTCTTTAATATTACTTGTAGTATTAAATTTAAAACTCTTAAAGAGAACATAATATTTTTTGGTTGAGACTTATTGGTTTAATATTATTTTATATGGGAATGGTCAGATGGGACTAAAGACAGAGGCGTCATTTGGGGGATTCAGACTATACATTGGCAGCCCTATTTTTTTAAATGTTTGGTTGGCCCGTATAAAATGTTATAATTGCGCCGTCGTCGATAAAATGTAAGATGCAAACGCGCTGTAATGGTGCGAGTTTTTCATAAGAACCTATTGTTCTATTGAAGTATTGAATATATATATTACAGTATTACATCTTATCAAAACTCGTTGCGTAACTATTCTATTTATAAAAAAAAATGTGCCTCCGCCGCGCCGGTGTGAGAGATTGCAAGTCGCTCCGCTAAATAAACAGGATATATAAATGGCCTGGTGGAGGGAACAATTAGCCTGATTCAAATGTTTGCATCCCTATTGAAAAATTGAAATGACGCCCCTGACTAAAGATTACATAAAATGTAAAAAAAATTAAATTTAGTTGCCTGAAAAAGTTTGTTTTCGATAATCAATAATCTGTAGACCAAAGTTATTATTTCAGATTTTATACCTATAAATACCTAATTAATAAATATTGAGTAAAGGTGTGGTAAAAAAGAAAAAATTAATTGTGAATGGAATTAGGTTTTATGTTTTTATAAATCTGTAAGGGAATGAAAAGTGCCATAATTTAAGTACGTTTCAATTTAAAATAAATTTGAAAATCTTAAACTATGTTTTTATTATATTGACTTAAAAATGTATAAATGTTTAGAAAAAAATAAAAATTTTCACAAAGTAAATTTGAATATTGACATCCTCAAAAAGAATGCAACATTGTATTGTTAAAAGCTAATTTATGTTATGTTTAAAAATATGATTTGGATTTACATACCAAGAAAACACTTGAGAATAATTTATGTAATTGAAGTATGAATTTAATTCAAAACTGAAGGGTTTCAGACTTTCCAGGTTATTCTAGGTAAATGTTTTCATATATTTTTTGATATTTAAATGTAACATAATGTTAACTTATGCAATATTTATACAATTTCTTATTAAAATGTATAATAATTCATTTATAAAGTGAAAAATAGTTTTGGTTTTTGGATATAAAAAAACAAGGCAGATTAAAAAAAAAACTTAAAAAAATAAAAATAAAAAAAATGGTGACAACAAATTATTATAAAATTTGATAAAATAACAACAATAATAAATATAATGTAAAATTATAAATAAATAAATAAATAAGTTATGATTTTATTACTTACTTGAAATAAATGCATATAAATTCAACAGTTTTTCATTGTCAGACTTATAATAAATACCCATAAGGATAAGCATTTAGCACAAGAGTAAAAAAACTCAAATATCTTAAATAAATATGATACAGTAGGGTAAGTAAAAATTAACTTGATATTTTTATAAAATGGCTTACATTTATAGGTTATAACACACACTTCGTCAAATGTCAAAAGTACTATAAATTTATTTTTTGTTGTTTGGAATGATATTTTTAGATTTCATGTAACCTACAATTTGATTAGGTATTTCAGCAAGCACTTCTCGTGCTAGATCAGCTTTTGCAACAGCTGGATTATCATACGACAGGAAATCATTGAACGAAACAAATTGCGTTATATCTCTAGCTGCACGAACACCATTGACTTCTAATGGAACTGTATCAGCATCCAATTCTTCCATCGATTCAAAATCTGCATTACCTACCCCTACTATGATAATTGACATAGGCAAAGACGACGCTCGAATTATGGCCTAAATAATATTTGTCAATAATGAGCTGACTCTTTCAAACTACATTTATAAGCTCTTTTATGATTATTCCAAGCAGACACAACAAAATAGATAAAAAAAAATTGTAAATACCTGTTTGGTATGGAGCATATCGGTTATTACTCCATCTGTAATGATTAGCAAAATAAAATACTGTGAGCCATCTTGATAAGCTTGGGCAAATTTAGCAACATGGTTGATAACAGGACTAAAGTTGGTAGGACCATATAACTGAACACTTCTTATGCAATGGTGGTAAGCATTGAGCACACCTAAAAATTAAATTAAAGTTTAAATTTTAAAATACCCTCAGGGAGACACTATGTATTTAGTGATATGGACTTAGGTGACCCGGGGCCTTGAATTACGAGCTGACTTTAATTAGTTGGCCCAAACTGGTCCTCCAGATTGGGGGTTTGAGCGACGGGCTAATAACCCGTCCTCTTTAAAAACCAAATCCTTGTTAAGAAACTTCAACCAAAGCCTCGGACTGTGGATAAAAATGGATCACGAAACTGAAATAGGACTCAGAAAGCAGCGGCATAGCCAGGATTTTTTTTCGGGAGAGGGCTGGTCAATTTTTTCAAGACTTGTAGCAACTTTTATGGATCATTAAAATAATTTTTAAATTTTCTTAATATTTCTAATATTTCGGAGAGGGGGGCTGCAGCCCCCCAACCCCACCCCTGGCTACGCCACTGCTGGAAAGACTTGGAGTTACGGATTGGAACATGGAATATAAAATGTTTTTTAAACCAGGCGCACTGAAATGTATAATTGATAAAATCACAAGATATAAAATCTCCATAGTAGCCATACAGGAGGTTCGCTGGCTCAATAGTGGTTATATACAAAGTGGCAAATCAATAATTTTCTACAGTGGTCTACAAACAGGTAGACATGAGAAGGGAGTTGGCTTTGTGATTGACAAAGCAGTGATGACGCAAGTTAAAAAAATTGTACCTGTGAATGAACGTATCTGCTACATACGAATCGTACAACAGAAACTATATTTAATAATATTGAACTGCTATGCGCCGACTGAAAATGCAGACGACGAGGAAAAAAATAGTTTCCATGATACATTAGAAACAACTTTTGATGCATTGCCCAAAAACTGTATAATGTTAACTATCAGAGATTTAAATACTCAAGTTGGTAGAGAATAATCCTTTGGACAAACGATCGGAAAAGAAAGCTGGCATCCTACTACAAATGACAATGATCACAAAATAGTTGATTCTTGCTCTTCAAAAGACCTCATGATTAGCAGCACCTATTTACCGAGAAAAAACATTTATGAACATACATGGTAGGCTCTAGATGGGAAAACAAAAAGTGAAATTGACCATATCATCATATACAATAGGCACAAAACGTTAATTCGTAATATTAGAAGTTACAGAGGAGCTGATGGAGATACTACCATTATTTAGTTGTAGCAACGTTTGTATTAAAGTTATCTCTAAAATGGATAAGTAAGCAAACAGGAAAGAATAATAAACTTCATACAGAAAAAGTTAGGAATCCAAAGGATATAGACACATACCAAAGAGAAATTTCGGAAAATCTTAGGAAATATAATCTAGTATAACATGAATCGAATAACGTTACACTGTGGTTAAAGACGAAAGAATCTCTAACAAAAGCCGCTGAAAGATTACGAGTTAGGCACATTAAACAAAACGAAAATCATTGGTTTAATTTGGAGTGCAAAGCTGTGATTAACAAGTGAAGTTTAGCTAGACTGCTAATATGATGCTGGATCCAACACAAGAGAACATAAATGAATACTCAAAACTCAGAACTCTAGCATGCAAGGTGATTAGGCAACAGAAACGCGCAATGGAAAAGAGTTATAGTAGATATCGAATACTATAAGAACCGAGACTGCTTTTTAAAAAGTGCAGATCGATTAAAGAAGGATTCAAGGCACGTACTAATTTCATCACAGATATTAGTGATTATATAATATCAAAACCTAGCGAGATTGTAGAAAAATTTCAAGAATATTTTGAAGAACTGTTAAATAAGAAAAATTCCCGCATCGGAAATATCAACAATGAAAAGTACAAAGAAGTAGTATATCATACAACAGAATCTGAACTACTAGCATCAAATATCGAGGAAATTGATCACTAAAGAACAATAAATCCTCAGGAGAAGATTATATAAATTCTGAACTACTAAAAATTGCAGGAAAAGAAATATTAATTAACCTACACCAAATTATAGCGAATATATGGAACAGTGAACAAATAGAACAGGAATGGTCGTTATCAGTTATCTGCCCAATTCTCAAGAAAGGGGATCCAACTAAAGTTAATAATTAACGATGTATATCGCTTCTAGACAAAGCGTATAAGGTGCTCTCAATAGCTATCTTGAGAAGAATAGAATCATTAGCAATAGATATTGTAGGAAAATATCAAAGCGGCTTCACAAGAGGAAGATCTACCAGTGACAATATCTTTACGCTCAGACAAACAACGGAAAAGTATTATGAGTTTGAAAAAGACCTAGACATGATATTTATAGATTTTAGATAAGCGTACGATAGCATCGATAGAGAGCAACTATGAACAGTACTACAGAATTTTGGATTACCCAAGAAACTAATAAACTTGGTTAAAAGTTGTAATTCCAATACTACATGCAAAGTGCGTTTTTTGGGAAGGGAGTCAAGGGATTTCGAAGTCAAGTCCGGTCTAAAACAAGGGGACGCGCTATCTCCCATTATTTTTAATATGGCATTGGAAAAAGTAGAGAGAGATATGCATAGAACGTGAGAAATGTATTTAATTGGTAGCAGGACACTGCTTGCATATGCTGACGACATTGTCATTCTTGGAGGCTCTCAAACCGAAGTAGAAGAAAGTACAAATAAATTAATTAAGTTTAGTAAAAGAATGGGCCTCAATATAAACGAGAATAAAATAAAGTATATGATCATGAGCAGGCGACCAGGAATTTTACAGAACCTCATCGTAGATGGTTATACATTCGAACAAGTAGAAGACTTTAAATATTTGGGAATCAATTTGAATAATAGGAATGAAATGTATAACGAAATAAGATTGAGACTGAATACGGCAAATTGAGGTTATTATGCAATGAGTAAATTATTCAGTTCTATGCTTCTTTCCAGAGAAACTAAGAAAAAGCTTTATATTTCCTACTAACAGCCCATAGTAATGTATGGTTGCGAAACGTGGTCCACCACTAAAAGGGATGAGACAAAGTTATTAACATCTGAAAGAAAGGTTCTTAGAAAAATAAATAGTCCCAAATATCCAAAAATATCTTGTCTCAAAGAGACTGGAATGGATCGAACACATATGGCGAGATAAGGACAGCATAATGAGACAAGTTGTGGTATCTAAACTAAATAAAACACGCCCCAGAAGAAGACCACATCAGCGTTGGCTAGATCGGGTAAAGAAAGATTTAATGCAAGTAGATAAAATCACGATAATTGAGGATGCAGACAACAGAGACCGATGGAGAGGCTTAGTAAAAGCATCGAAGGGCCTTAGAGGCCTATAAAAGCTAATAAAAAAAAAAACCACTTTAAAATGTAAAATTATACTATTAAGTATATATTTGTATATATATCAACAGGGAAGTAAAGATTAAATAATTTAAAAAAAAAAATTAAAAAAAATATAAAATAATTTATGTGAAATGCCTTCCTAAGAACATTCGTATTCTTTTTTTTTTTTTATATACATTAATAATTTATTCTCTCGTAAAATAATTTATTTTGTAGTACAAAAATTTATATTTTTTATTTTATTATTAAATAAATTTTATTTATAATCTATATAAACAAGCATAATTAGTTAATGAGATGACACAATAAAGTATAATAAAATGACTTGATTATCATGAGAAAAGAAACCCATTCAGCTTATATTGCAGTGTATAATTGGTCATATACAACGAAGACCCAGTTATTTGCCAAAGACATACAGATTGGAAAGTTTGAAAAGGTCTTTAATCATAAAGGATTAATTTAGGCCCTAAATTTGGAAACCATATGATTAAAGAAGAGTTATAATTGTTTTATATATTAAAAGTTTGCTTTTTAAACTCCTCGGATGGGATAGTAATGGGTGGAGAAGGTATAGGTATATGTTGGATTGTTTTCTTCTGTTTCTTGTAGTGATGAGTCGAACCCTGATTCTTTAAATCGAATCGAACTTGAACCGAACTGTAAATTATTTTTTTGAACTCAAACTGAACCGAAACTTCATATTTTCTACTGAACCGAACAGAACCTATTATGATTTTAAGCAGTGCTCGACTTGGCAAAATTAAAGAAGGGGGACTCTGTTTACTGAAAAAATTGCGTCCCCAAAATTTGTTAAGCTTGTTAACTTGTTAAACATTATAATAGTAGGGGGACGCTCAAATTTCTAAAAATTAGAAGGGGTACACCGTCCCCCTTTGTCCCCCTCAAGTCGAGCACTGATTTTAAATCAAACTCGAACTAGAATTCAATACTTTTTATCATGTACATTGTACCAAACTACGAATTAAATCAATCATAATTATTAATAACTATTGTATTTTAAGTTTTCGTATTACCTACTCTACATTTTAACTTTGAAGTCTAAGTAATTATATTCTTTAGAATAAATTAAAATTTTAGATAGTTTTTTATTATTATTATTATTTTTCAAAACCAGTATTGTGCTCTCTCGTGTTGTCTTGTAGCTTATAAAATATTCATTGAATGTTGTGTAATAGAAATTGGCAAAATACATCGATTTTTTAAAAACATCGATGTTTTCATTCCATAAATCGAAACCCTACATCGATGTATTAAAAAAAAATCGATTTTTTTCTAATCCAAAGTCCGATGTTTAAATAATGTATTTATTTAAACATTTTACAATTTATACATAACGTACATAAATATAACATAGATATAATTTTTCTTAAAACTTATTAAGGTTAAACATATTAAACATTGATGTTTTAAAACATTGGTGTTTTTGTCAAAAATATCGATCACCAACATCGATGTTTCAAATGTAGATACATCGATACATCGGAACATCTATGTTTCACACTTTTTGCCCATCTCTATTGAGTATTGAGTGTAATATGACAATACAATCAATACATTTTAATAATATATATAAAAAAAATAATAATAATTATAGTTCACAAATATAGAATGATTAATAGAATTTATAATGTAAGACGTAGGTTGTAAACATGTTTTTATTAATAGCACAGTTGCGGTATCGGAATATTACCATGGATTTATCCAAAATATATTTTAACCTCTACAATAAATATGATAAAAACAAAAATAGCTAATTTATGTATGTAGATACACTGCTTTATTGGTTTATTGATAACTAACTCTATTGGTGATAAACAACTTATTAATGTTTTTGGTCGGCGGAGGGTGGATGTGTAACATGCGACTGGAAAAATAGCATTATTATTATAAATAATGCATAACGTGCCTTTTACAGATTATCACTTACTATTAGGGACGGGCAAAATATTTTGAACATCGATGTTTCGATATATCGATATATCAAAATTTTAAACATTGATAGTGTCGATAAATCGGATTTTTAAAAAAAAACATCGATGTTTTTTTATAATTTCATGATTAAATAATGAATTTAAAAGTTGAAATACTATTGTTAAACTTTGTTTTTTTTAATACATATTACTATAATAAACTGTTATAAAATTGATGAAACTGAATTTTTTTATATTCAGGTATTACCTTAGTTATATAAAATATTTACACAAATTAATATGACATAAAATACTTTAGTTTTAAATCTTAAAATACAGTTAAAACAATTATAACTAATTATAATATGATAATAACCAACGTGAAACTGAGAACCACAATTAAAGATGTCTTTAATCGAGGTCGCGACTGAACGAATCAAAATGAACACACTATTAAGGACATTGATCACACTTACGAGTTACAACATATTTTACACATATTTTATCACGTATTACGTATTTTAAATTTTAATGCCCATTGCGAAACTCAATGGTCGAGTCGTTCGACGGAACACTCAACACAGAAAACCTCGTGAAAACTCGTGAAAAACTAAAAACTGTGAACTGTCAAATTAATAACATAATTAAAAAAAAACATCGAAATAACATCGATGTATCGAACAAAAACATCGATGTTTTTCGCCCATCCCTACTTTCTATCGCCAATAGTCTAATTATTTCTAAATAATGATTATCAATTTTTATTTTTCATAAATAACTTTTGAAGAATTGTACAAATATTTGGTTTTCGAACTATCGCAGCCAGTAAGTGTGGTTCGACAAATATTTCCAAGTTCGATTTTCGAACAGTAAAAGATGATTGATAGTTCGGTTTGATTTTTTTTTCATGCAGAGTTCAAATTTCGAACCGAACCGAACATCAGGGGTTCGGTTTGGTTCAGTTCGAGATTCGAACAATTCAACCCATCACTAGTTTCTTGTAAAATGTGCCTAAATGTTGTTTATCAAGGTATCAAGGTGAACTCCTAAGTATTTAGTTGCATTTTGGATTAATGTAAATATGTAATTTAGTGATAGTCTCGACTATCTACTTTCCCTACTTTCCCTTGGACAATCTATCATACAAAGAAGTTTTATTTAATTATTTATATATTGAATAAGATTATAATCATCTCACAATAAATGATATAAAAAGTAAATGTTAGTACTACTTGATACTACAAAATAGCTTATAATTTTAGGAATACAATTTTATAACGATTCATAATTTACCTTCTATTCCAGCACAATATGGATCACTGGCTTGCAAATTCAAGAAAAACTCATGAGAAACATTACCATGTGGTGGAATACGTGCACCAAAACCCAAAGCCGGAAACATTTTGTCACTATCATAATCTTGAATAATATCCCCTACAGCAACTAATGCTTGTTCATATTGATTGGGTACATTACTTAGGTAATGCAATGAATTGTAATCTTGTGGATCTCCATTAGATGCTATTAGATAAAAGATTTAATATTTGATAACACATGTAAATAAAATTAGATAAACCTTATAAAAATATTTTTAAAATATACCAGTGAAATCTATGGCAAATGTACAGTTAATTTGTGTACCACCCATAATGTAATCAAGAAAAGTAAATGTTTTTCTCAGCTCAAAATGATTCAAGCGAACACTTCCACAAATTTTCTGAAAAATTAGACAAATCTGTTAATTATAGGTATAGATAATACATATTTAAATTTAATGAACCTTTTCCACTAAATTAATAATGAGCATTTACTAATTTAAAATCAAGTTATTTAAGACAATTTTACATTTTAATAAATTAAATAATTTAAAATTGAAAAGCGTTGTTATAGTATTAATATGCTACATAATAAAATAATTCTTCATTACAATTTGAAAATATTTCTAATTTCTAACATATTTATTATATAACATCATCTTGTGATTATTATATCCCTGTGGATCTATATTGTATTGATGAAGAACACCATTAAAATACAGTAAAACTCGCTTAAGACGCTCCCGCTTAAGACATTTTCCCGCATAAGACGCTATTTTCCGTTGGTCCCTAGACATTTCCTATACTAGTCAATGTAAAAACTACCTGTTAAGACGCTCGGTTTTTCTCTATCTTATTGGATAAAACGCTCTTTTGTTTAGTAGATTATGATAAATTTTAGTAGGTTTGTGGAAATAAAAATGGAAATTTTATATGTTTACGTGTTCTCATTGTTGTATCGTTTCATTTTATTACTATACCTATTTTATCATCAGCTATTATTCTTATCCAGTATCTACTCCCACAATTACTGCTGGGTTACAACACCTAACAGAAATTCAAAAATATTATCCTCTGTAGAAAATTTTGAAGAAATGTTGGGTTGTCTCAATAAAATAGAAAACTTTTTTGCTGAGACATATTGTCAGCATCATTGTCAGCAAACAGAAATATATCAATTTTTAAATAAACAATAATAAAATATTTAATAATAATTTTTTTTAAATTAAATTCAGTAGCAAAAAATATATATACACATGTATTTAATTACATATATATATACATACACAAATTTATTAGTGTATTGCCCATTAAATTATGTTCAATAATAAAAAAATTAACTCCACATTTCAATCACTTCATTTTTTTTCTAATCCCGTATAAGACACTTTCCCGCTTAAAACGCTCAAGAGAGCTGGTCCCTTAAATAGCGTCTTAAGCGAGTTTTACTGTATTTGTAATAATATTAAATATTAATTTTAATTAATTTTATTTAATTGTAGATGATATTTTTCATTTGTACATTATAAAGTTTTCTATTTATTCATCATAAAATATAACTTACTTCTGATCTTGGTTTGACACATCTATAATCATTTTCTGGTCCAATTCCACATTTCAATTTATTCATTGAAGTATGACTTTCTCCTACAATATTGTATTTTCAATTACATTGATTTATTTATATGAAAATAACTAATACTAAATGTAACTAAAACATGTAGTTATTTATAAAAGAATTTATGAATTATATGTTATATTCATAAATATTTAAGAACTGTATTAACAAAATATAGTTATAAATAATTTTAAAATAGTATTTATGACATGAAACTTTAATTTAATATAAATATTAAAAGGGTTCTTAGATATGTTAAGCTTTAAATTTATGTTAATAATCTTATGTACTTAAAACTTTGAAAAACTTTGAAATTTAAAAAATAAATATGATCATAAATTAAATTATATGAATATATTTTTAATTATTATTTTTTATGTATCCTGAACAAGTTTTATTTTTAGGAAACCGATTTAAAATTAAAAATATGATTAATCATATATTTATTAATAAATAATAATTATAACACAATTATAATATATCAAACCACAGTTTACTATTTTTTCCTAACTTGGTTTTAAGCTGTTATCGAAAATGTATTTACTTAAAATAATAAGTTATATTTAATAATTTAAACATTAATTACCAATTAATGAATGATTGCCATTGCTATGGTAATGATAACATGCTATTTTAATATCTCTATCAAAATCTGTACCACATAATGAACGGACAGGAAGTGTTATTGGTTTCCATGTAGGATTGTTTGACCAATGAGCAACCTCACTTCTATACACTAATTGATAATTTCCATCTTCGCCAACTTTATACAATTCTAAAAATGGGTATGCTTTTACAACCCAGGAAAAAAATCTAAAAAGAATAAAAATTAATAAATAAAACTATAACCCTCGATTTAATAATATTTAAACACCTACTTTGCTACCCAATCACTTCGTTCCAAATCTTTTCCACTGAAATGCAATGTGACTTCATCGTGACAAGCAGGAAGTTCTTCAGCATTTACAATAACTTGACCTTTATTATTGGCTTTTGCTCCTTTTAAAGGTAATGTCACTGTAACTGACGATACAATCTAAAAAATAAAAAAATAAAAAAAATAAAATTTGTTATGTTCATTTTTATTTTATTGGTTTTAAAAAATATTATAAGATAATTTTTATTACATGTCCGAGAGTAGTTTCACAGAATCCTAAAAAATCTTGAGATCTTAGGTCACTCAAGTGTGAATCAACATCATACACTTCAAATTTAATAAGCTGTTGAACTTCAAAACGATATAATATTTGAACCTAAAAATAATAAGTACAGATAAAAAGATAAGTATTTCAATTAATGTACAATTATTAATAAATAATGAATACTTTACTTTTGTCATAAAATCAGGATTTAGTGAATTATTAATACATTCAGTACGAAAAATTTCACTCCATCTAGAGTTTTCTGAAGTTTTCATGTACACAACACACATTGGATCAGATTTAGAAAACACATCACAGTCCAATAAATTTCTAAAAACAAATAAAATTAAATTAACTAAAATAACACAACTATCAGTTGAATCATCATGTATTTAAAATTGTTAGTCTTTAATTTAAATTTGAACTGAATAAATAAAACTTTAAGGTTAAACATTTTTTTATTAAACCAATAATATAGCTATAATTACTTGAGTCTAGATTTTGTTAATAGATTGCAAACAATTTATCATAACATTTTTAACTACAATTAAATTTTTTTTTTTTCGAGTTAGTTCAATGTCATATTAATTAACTATAAAGTATGATTACATACAACTTTTCAAAGTATTAGATATTAGAAATTAAATATTCATTTTAGTAATTTATTTATACATTAATGAAACTCTACAAGGATAATTATTTCATATTCTGTAGTTAATATATATGATATAAATTATAGTAAAAAATTAGAACTTTTGAATTTTAACTAGAGTAGATGCATAGTTATAGTGGAATTTATATTAATAATGTAAATCAAGAACTCATTTTCATTTTTTTATTTAATAATATATAATTAGTTTTAAATGATAGTTTTTATTATTTGTATTTGTTTAATCAATTTTAATTTTTTTTTGGGTTCAACTAATAATATTTAAGTATCATAATAATATTTAATATTGAAAACATTAAAAAACAGCGTTTGGCGGTAAATTGAACAAACTGACTAAGCCCTTGAGCGATCCAATAAATAAGACAATATAATTCCGTCTATTCAGGCAAAAACAAACTGTTCTAACTTAACTAACTTAACTGTTCTTTTTTTCTTGTCCATAATCATGTAGAATAAAAAAAAAAAAAAAAAAAAAAAAACAAGAATTTAAATTAAAACGAAATAATATAATAGGCATTAAATCATCGTGGGTCGGCGGTAATTAACGAACTGTCGTTGACGTGTAATCGGCACGTTTCGTAGACAGACCATAGACCTTATACTAAGTATAACAATTAGAGAGCGGATCTTTAGGTTTTTACATAGTTTTATTGGCTTTATGAAAATTTACGAGGATAAATAATGTGGACGATTTATCCATCATAGAGTTTGTAGGTAAGCATTTATTTTGCATATTTTAGCATATTTTGGACATTAGAGAATATTTAGTCTATTTTTCATATTTTTGAATATATTCAATTATTGTTCATAAAAAAGCATATTTTATTAATTTCTTGAGTTGTGATTTTTCTAGGAAAAAAAATTTGATTATTATATTTATATTCCTATATATGGAACTGTTATCTATTTTTTTCATTTAAATAATTTATCTTTTACCAAGTAATAGTGCATAAAAGTTGTTCATTGTTTTTATTTTGTATTTTGTATTTTATATATAATTTTATTATATTTATACTCCTATGTACGAACTTTTTAAATTTTTATATTTAAATAATTTACCTGTCACCAAAGGAATGGCCCATAACAGTAATTTATTGTTTTTATTGAACTATTTAAGAAAAAAAAAAAATCATATTATCCCATATTTACAAGTTTAAGGAATATTTAGAGAATATTTTAGAGTTTTTTTAGAACATATTATTTGCAAATTTATAAGTTTAAGGAATATTTAGAGATTATTTTAGGGTTTTTTAGAATACTACTACTTAGTATAAGGTCTATGAGACGAACATCCATTCAAACTTTAAGATATGCTAGGCAAGTATAATATCTGCTTCCTTCGATAAAAAAAAACCAATTTATTTTGGTATATATTTTTATGTTCTTCCTTGCCTGCGGACCTAATAAAATTTGTCCGCGGACCACCATTTCGTGATAGCTGCCCTAGGGCCTAGAGCAATGGTTTTCAATATTTTTATATCCACGTATCACACATTTTGAAAAATTTGCACGTACCACTTAACTCGAAAACTTTTTTTTTTACTTATTAACAAATACTTTTACATTATTTTACATACATGAAGCCTTTTTAATAAATTTATTTTATTAATTTAAACTACATAAATGTATAAGCATTTAATGCACAAAAAGTGACATAACGTAAAATATTTATAGTTATTAACTATAATGAATAAGAATGGATATTTAATGAGATAGTTTATAATATATTGAATGAATCAGGACGTCAATACCGTGATCCATGTTGGAAATTTTATTATGTATTAAGTTGTCTTCTACGTTAATTTAGTTCCTATGTCGTAGATATTTATAAATATAAATCAGCCATTATCAAATAAACTAAATAATATCGCATGGTTATAATAATAAAAATATAAAACTATTTCTTTGAAAAAAATTTCTGCACGTATCATTTTGGTACACGTACCACAGGTTGGAAACCGCTACTCCAGATAATATTTTATTACGTCACATGTTTTGTCAAATTTTATTATCCTAATCGCATATTTTATATTGAGTTGCATTATACTATAATTATTTCCTTCACGAAATGTTAACTTGTCATAACTCAAGCTCTTCAATAATAAATTTAAATAATTGGATATGAACTGTAAACCATCAAGTTCACCTGTGAGTTATTAATAATTGGACATTAATAAAATAAACCATGAATTCTGAGAAAATTGAAAGGATGTCCGATGAAAACGAAAAGTTACGAGTCAACATTTCCAAATTTAATAATAGGAAAAATATATTGCCGAACGCAGAATGGTACAACTATGTTGTTTTTGAATAGACATCAAAGACGATAATGAATTGTTTTATGATTTTATTTCTATTAATTGGTGTTATTATTTTTGAAACAAATACGGATCTTGTTAATTATTTTCTAGAATTACATTTTTCTTCGAGTAGCACTTCATATTACAATATTTGAACCTTAAGGACATAATTATAACATATAATGGAGTTGTAAGTAGTTGTTATGTATTATTGATCTTTAATTATTAAATATTTTTTCTTTAATTTTTTTACTCAGATATTATATTAATTGTGGTTCGACATAAACGTATCATTACCGAGTATTAATATAAAAACATTCATAAAATATTTAAATTATATCTTAATAATAATAAAACAAAATTATTGATAATATGAAACAGTGGCATACTAAGGCTTATGATGTTTTTTCCGAGTTTTAGTATGCCATTGAATAAAATAGTTTCAATTAAAAACAATATTTTCTGAAACAGTTACTGTAATATAATAACTACAATAGGGTTGGTTTTTGAAACGGCAATAATTTCGGAAAGGCTGAACCACCAGAATAGTTTTGTGTATTACAAATAAGACTTGAGAATCAACATTTTCCTCAAAAATCATACTATTATACATGCCTATTCGAAATGTTTTTTTTTTTTTTTTTTTAAATGGTCTTGTTCCTTGGATTATAAACACTGGACAGTTACCAAACCTATATTAATTTCTATAAATCATAACATACAATACCAAAAATCAGAATATCATTGTGTTTCAATTATAGATTTATTTCCACAGAATATTTCCTAAGTTTAATTTAAAAAAATATTGGCTATGAATAGTCGGCTTATTGGCGTAAACTTTTATGTACTAGGGTTATATTTAACTGTAGTACCTACAAATTACAATATAATAAACAACTCTATTGTCGCAGCGTTAAAATAATAATATTTTCATCGTTATAAATGTAAATTAGGTGAGATAACAATTAATCAATAAGAAAAATCATAGGTACGTGTCAAAAAATAAATAAGTACACGTTTTTTGCATTCGTATATCAAGAATTTATTACAACTCTAAGATAACTTTAAAATATTCATATACAAATAACGGGAAAACAGATCGACATCTGTAACCAAAATTAATCGAAGTAAAACGATCGTTAAACTTAACGTTATGCCGAACAATTTTTTGATTATTTTATATCTAATTTTAACCCGACTGTTTGTATTCGATTAATGTGTTCGAACGAAACATAAAATCAAGTGACAAACCGGTGGTTCGTCGTCAGAAAAAGAAAAGGTGGATTAGGTACACGTCATTCAATTTCGATGGACCGAAAACCGTCCCTCCTGCGCATCGTTCGCGCGCGCGCGCGCGCTCATCAACTTGACTCGCACTAGGGCACGGTGCACGGGTAGCGGTCAATAAAACAGTAACATCAAGCGGTTTTCACCGAAGCAAATAGTTACCTGCAAGACAAAGTGAGTTCGATTTCCGACGTGGGCTCGGTGGACGAACCGGGCTTAAACATAGTCATGGCTGCGGTGTTTCGGACAGCGGAACACTGTTCAGGAATGAGTACACGGGAGCGCGTTTGCGTACTTAACTTCTACGTCGGGCTCGGTGTGCGTCGTTAGGCGGTCGAATCCTTGACCATTGTTGCTCGGTGCCCAGGGCGCCTCGTCGACGGTGCGCGTCACAGCTACGATGAGTCGCGCAAGCTAGATAATGACACGGGCGTAATAATGCTGAGATAATAATTCCGTGGCCCGCGATAAAAACGTCGCACGTACTAAACGTTCAGTCAATCAATCGCATCGGTGGTTAGTGAGCTGGAGCGTTCGTGATTCGTCTGCGACGTCGTCCGGGTGCCTCTTATCAATCCGTTAACATTATTGCGAGCAACGGTGCCAGGAGCGTCTAAACACAGGAATGCACCTTAAGTATTCTGCGCATACGCGTAATTTATTCACCACTATCATAATGTTAGGCTGTCACGTAGAGTTACTCAATGGGCTGTTATCAATATATCATATCAAATCACTATAATACGATAATATTATAATAATATGAGTTATGAATCAAACTATTCAAAATTTAACTACGTACTTCCTATGCAATTAATATATTGTCATTTTATTTCAGTTGTTAAATAATAATGTTCAGTTTCGTTATCATTTTTTTTTTGTTGTAGTATATATTGAGATGTTTAGTTTCAACTCTAGTGTAATGTACTATGTATACATTATATTGTTTCATACGTATTTTATAGTTACTTCGTAATTACAATTTACAATTAGAACCATAAGCAAATTAATAGAAGTTATATGAACCACGTGCGAATCGCAAAATATCGAATAGGAAAAAGTTGCAAAACAGCATTAGCAACCAAATATATCCAGTATATACGCTCCGCTCATGTTTGTTACTATCATCTACTTTGTCTATGTAATGTTAAATTAAAAAGTGTTAAATAAAATATCACTAATACCGTAATAAGTATTCTTGATAAAGTTATTAATCTAACTCTAAAATCCTTACATCCTAATATTGTGTAACCGTGTCGAACTCACAACTCGGCACACTACACTAGTTGGTTTTAATAATTTACACTTGTACTTATTATTAAGATAATGTCATGTTATAAGGGGGACTCTATTTACTTTAAAAAAAAGGATGTTCCCAAAACTGGATGAGCGTTATGATTATAGCGTAATAATAGTAGGGGGATGCTAACATTTTTGAAAATTAGTTGGGATACTCCATCCCCCTGCGTCCCCCCTCATGTCGAGCACTGTTTATATAGATATTAGATAATATTGAATTTTTATGTTTAAGATGTTTGTGAATTGTTTTGTTAATACTCAATATAACATTTAGTAAAAAACCTTTGTGTAATAAATGTTGATAAAGTCTGGTTTACGAAATGTTCAAATAGGTAATTGGGTAAATGTAGATATGAATAAACATTATTAAAAGCCATCTCAACATATTAGATAGTTATTTCTGTTTTAATTTTTTTTTTTTTTAAATGTATCTGGTATGTATAATGATTTATTTACTGAAATGGTCGAAGCACAAAAAAAAGTGTAAAATACGTAAATAGTATATTCAGATTTTGAATAGTTAGATTCAAAACTCATATTGTTATCTATCGTATTATAGTGATTTGATATAATATATTGATAACAGCCTAACATTATGATAATGGTGAATAAATTACGCGCATACGCAGAATGCATAAGGTGTATTCCTGTGTTTAGACGCTCCAGTTTTGACGCTCCTCCTAACGGTGCCCGGCGACGGAGCGAAGTTAGGTGCAGAAGTGGAAAAAAAAAAAAACAAACGCGACTGATACCGCGCGGCAATACGGGTTGGGCGTGTGATAACGTTAACCGCTGGACTAGGGTGGGCGGATCCAAGGAGGTTGGGTCCGGTCACGGGTCTGGGGTCCAAAAAGGGCCCAGGAAAATTCAGCAGTGCCCTGGAGCGTTCGAATTTCGATTCGAACCCGGTGCATAGCGCACCGGGACGGGCGGAATGCTGCCAACGGATTTCTCAGCCGACTCGCACACGTCCGGCCGTCCCGTTCCAAGGACACTGTATACCCGCTACGTAGATTATCCTCGTACATTTCACCCGACTTTTCCTCCTGTCACTACTTGCGTAAAAGGCGGATGTGTTGTGAGCATTTTCCGATTCCGGCCAACAGTCGCCGCCGAGTATATTTGCGAACACGATATATTGCGTCAAACCGGACGCCGTGCACCCGTGCAACGTTCACTCCGCTCGTTGTCGTCATCGTCTCATTGCCGTGACTCACGTCCCGCGCTCCACAACACTGATACATAACAGTAGTATTTACACGCACTGTTATTGTTGTAGTTGCTTCGATTCCGCGCGCGATTTAGGGTCAATGGTATTGAACAACTGTATCGCCACGGTACGTATCAGTTAGTCCAGCATTGGTTGACACGGTTTTAAATGTTGCAAGCCGAGAGGATGCCTGATCTGGTGGAAGTGATGAGGATGGGCAAGGACCATCGTCTCAAGCAGCGGCAGTTGCCGCTTCAGGTCGATGAGAACTTGACGGTGAGTCAGGGTCTGTCCACCATCCTTTTTTTTTCCTTATCAACAGTTTCCTTCTTTTAAACACCCGTTCGCTGTTGGCACCCGAGTGTATCATAACATTATCAGTGTTGTGACTAGTTCACTGTGTGGACTTACATCTTTTGCTGCGCCTGTTCCTTTTGTTTTGTTCTGTCCGTATCAACATGTTTCTTGCCGACACTCTTAATACTATTAATACTAATTTTGTTTCATTTACCCTTATTTTTTTCCAGTTGGTCATGGATCTGAGCAATGAAGATTTGGTACAAGAAGTTAAGCAAATACCACCTTTAAAAGTTCAGTCTTTGGATAGTTTTGTGAAAAAATATCGCATGCTAAACAAACGTGAACTACAAGATATCTTGAAAGTATCCATTAAAGAAATTTTGGATATAATGAGTGAAAGTATTGACTGTGTTGGATGTCGTAGAAGGTAAGTACCTAATTTTTTCATTTTATCATCCCATTAATTAATCTATATTGTTATTTAATAACCTAAGTTATAAAATAATTTTCATTTCAATTCTTTTTATTTATTATCAAAATTATAGTTTATTACAATTTCTAATCATTTTTATGATGATAATTATTAGTTTTCATTTACCACAATGTTAATTTTTAGTAGATTAATATACGTGTTTCTTAGTTTTATAGATTCTTACCATTAATAATATTTTGGTATTTCACATTATATTCCAAATTCTCTATCTAAAAACACTGATAATAGATCTAAGATAATTATTTAAGTATCTCCCACCATTTATACATCATTGATTGTTTTTTTTTTTTTTTTATTTTATTCAATTAATGATTCCAAAATTCTTAAATATTAATTTTTTAATTTTAAGGTTTATTCTATATTTCATTTTTATCATTTTAAAGGTAGATATTACATTTTTCTTTTATATTTTTACATTCAACCGTGTTTACTTTTATTATGTTGAAACTTGTCAAAATTGAATTCTAATTATAGTAAGATTTAAATGTAGTAATTATTCATAATTATATTATCTTTTTCAGCGCTGAAAAACTATTTCTTGAAATGGCTAAACTTGGTCAAAATGCATTGTTCCCTCTTGTAGTAGTTAATAATTTCTATATTTCTATAAGAAATGAATTTTTTGAGGAAGAAAGATGCATGTATAATCTACTTCAAAACACCAATGGGTAATTTATTTAAATATAAAATTATTTAGTTGATTTGGTAACAGTTAATATTATTTAAAATTATTTAGGAATCGCTTATCTTCAATAGCATCTAGTCGTCGGCAATCAAAAAAAAGTAGAAGATGTGTTTATCATTCCCTTGAGTCACAAAGGCTTGTCCGACCAATGGCAAGTGGTTGGCAAGATATATGGAAACATATGACTGAACCGTGCAAAGATGAAATAGTACTAATAGAAGCTAGTAGTTTATTAAGTACTCTGGATAATTATCTTAGAAAACATAGGTAAATATTATTTTAAATTATTAAAGTATGTTATATACCTATTTCTTAAAGGAATTTGGTGTAAACAATTTAAAAAAAAAAAATGATAATGATAATGTATTTTTAATGCAAATTAATAGTGACTAATTCAATTTTTATATAACTATTAGTTGTTGCATACTTATCAAATCCTTTCAAAAAAACTTGTTAATTGTTCAATGTGAGCAATGCTCATATAGTTCCTTATGAATTTATGATATAAAAACTAAATTAATAGAAATATAAATAGTTGACAACTGTATCTATAATATATTTTTATTTTTAAAAACTCAATTTGATTTAATGAAGAAAAACTATTATTTCATTTAATTTATGGTAAAAAAAAAAAATTCTTTCTAACTGATAAAGTTTTTCCTTTATTATTATAAATATGAATTATGTAGTGTTGACTTTTAAACATTGAGATTTTCACTGTAATTTATCAATTTTGATGTCTTTTTAACCTTGTTTTTATTATATTTTCTTAGATTTAATAAGTGCCGTAGCTATTTTAGGCAAAGTAGGTTAATGGATCCCATAGCACAAAGGGTCTTGGAAATTTCTTTGACTATGTTTACTTAAAACAATTGACAACATTGATGTATTTAACAGTAAATTCTCAATCCGTGTGATGTTTCCAGTTACAATCTGTATTAGATAGTAATTCACACTATTTGTTTTATACAGTAACAAACTGAATTTTCTTTTTACTTTGTAAATCTATTAATTAATATTAAATATAGTATATGCAATAAATAATAAAGGATTAAGGGTTTAATTATTACAAAAAAACAAAGAGAAAGACAAGTAACAGTGTAAAGCGTAGAATGCTACAATCCAATCTCTGGCTTGTGGTGTATGTAATTTTTACCAAAAGTGACTGAAAAAAAAATTAAATTTTAAGTAATCTGCGCAATGTCCAAAGAGGTATAAATATAAATTGCACCACGACTGATAACAAACAGTACTATGTACTCATACTACATACTATGTACTATATTCTCACTTGTTATTTTAATTATGCTGAGGCTCGCCATGTGTTACTGATTTTTATATTGTCATTTAATATTGAAATTTTTTTAGTTTTTATTTTTTCTACTGTATTTTTACCCCTTAATCACTTTAAAAAAATTACTTTCCAGCAGATCTTATACAATTTTCAATACAGTCACATTGTGTACGATTATTCTTAAAACTTTAATGTAACATATGTAAAATTTGTAATGAATACTTTCTGAGTAATAACATTTTAATTTTTAGAGAAGGGGTATGAAAATCTTTTAGTTATGCATATTAAATAAGTAATAAATATAAATTATTAGTAAAATCATTAATAATTAACTTTTGTATTAACTATACAATAAATACATGTACTATTGTACATAACATTTTATAAATTTGTTTGAAAGTACAAGTAATCTGGAATAATGTAGATATTATACATATATTTTTGTATCAAATATACAACTAAAAGATTTTTCATACCTTTTCTCTAGAAATTAAAATGGCTATTACTCAGGAAATATTCATTGATTATTTAAGTGTAACATTAAAATTTTTAGAATAATATTTTACACAAAGTAATTATATTGATTGAAATTTGTATAATAAGAACAACTGGAGAATAATTTTTTTTAAGTGAATAAGGCGTGAAAATAAAATTTTTTTTATTAGTTATATGTCTTCCTAAAATTGAAAAAATAAAAATAAAAAAGTTTCAACATTTACTGCTAATATAAAAATTGGTAAAACATGGTGAGACCTGTAAAGGAAATTAATAAAAAAAACTTGTCTATGCATTTTTGATTTTATGTTCAAGCTTTTAAAATTACTTTGAATATGTTAATATTGTGCCCTTAGTAAAACATTTCAGTTATGTAATTTCTTTAATAATTTAAATTTATTATTTTTGTAATTTCTCTTTGGTAAATAATGTAATACATTTGGTTTAAATATTATTCTTAAACCATGAAATTATATAATGAGAACATTATAAATAGAGGTTTTTATTATATTTTCATGTGAAACATTAAATCATCTGTCAGAAATTAAAATTTGAAATGAAATATGATATGGTTCAAAAACCTTACTTTATTTTCATTTTTTATTTTATTTTAGCACATAAAGTACTCAAATATGTACATACATATGTGTTAAATAACATCATAATATGTGGTATAATATGCAGTTAACACTTGGTAAATATGCAATTTATTGAATAAAATACAATTTATATAAATTGGGCACATGGAATAAAAATAACAAAAATTAAATTAAAAAAAAATAAACACTTAAATACATTTTCATCAAACTTTAATTATCTTGAGTAAAAATGTTTAAATACTGATAATGACTACTTTACATTATGGTACATTCATAATGCCTTGGTAAATGTTGATTAATATTAATTCATCAGTGATCACTATAACAATTTCTCAGTACAATAAAATTTATCAATGTTAATTGCATTGGTAGCAATACTAAAATAACCAATGATTAATTAATTAATTCTTTAAATTATATTAAATGTAGAATTTTGGTTGTCTTATATCTAATACTTTTTGTTAAATTATAAATTTGTGAAAAAAAAAATTGTTTCATTAAATCTATGAAATATGAAAAATTATACAATAAAAAATTTCAATATGCAACTGCTTAAAGTTCCGAGCCTTGATCATGATTTTACTTTTCTTAATTTTTTATCTTATTAAACTTATTAAATGTTCACCTATTAGATTTTGTGGTGATTGTCGCACTAAAGTAATGAAAGCATATGCATTGCTTATCGAAGAAGAAGATCCGTCCAAAGAAAAGGGTTATGTAGAAGAACTTTATTCTGGTATTAAAAGATGTGTTGGAGACAAACATGTGCATTTAGATACGGATATAAATTATATTGGTGCATTAATCAGTCGTGCTGAACCAGAACTAATGGGAAAGTAAGTACATATAAATTAATTTATATTAAAAAATAATCAATTTTTATGAATTAGTATTAGTCGTAGGGAACGACATGCTAAAACTATCGAGATTGCTCAAGAAGAGGTTTTAACTTGTCTGGGTATTTGTGTATATGAACGATTGCACAGAATACAATTGAGAATCCGAGAAGAACAATATACTTGCCAAGTTCTGGCAGCAGCAGCTATAGATGGTCTTGCCAGAAGATTTGAAGTAATTAATTCACATTTTGTTTTTTCTAATCTATGGTGGATTTCATAATAAAATGTTTTTCGCAGACTGCCATTGAAATAAAACAAGGTTTCACTAAATTAGATCAGTTTTACAATGAATTTTCTAAAAAAGAAAAAAAGACACAAAAGAGAAAACGGATTAGAAAACAAAAAAGATTACAGAGAAAAGAAATTAAACCAGATGATTCAGAATTGAAACCTTGTTGTGATGTAAATATTAACTAATTTGTACTTATTGAATCTGAAGAGTTTATTAATAATTTACTAACACATTTAGATGAACCTAGACGAAGAATGTTCTTGCGACATAGACGAAGAAATTGATTTTGGTGAAGATGATATTGATTTTGTTGATGATGTAGATGATGATGATGATGATGATGGCGTACAATCAAATGTATGTATATTTATATTTTATATTTATTTATTTATTTTTAATTAATTGATTTATATTTTGTCTTAAGGAAAGGGAAGATTCTGATGAAACTTGTGAACATATTGATGACTGTATGTGTGAAAATATAAAGTTGATAGAAAGAGTAAGAAAGGTATGTGTTATATTTTAATTTTATTTTATAATCGGCTTATAAATTATTCATAATTTACTCTTTTTAGCAACTTAAATTATCTGGTGACAGAAAAAAAAGTATTTCTACTCCTATCATATCATGCAGCTGTGTTGAATGTAGTTCTAATGGGTCCAGAAAATCTAAAAAGAAAAAAGGTGGAGATAAAGAAAAACATAATAAAAAAAAGCAGACTAAAAACAGTCGAAAAAACACAAAAAAAGTTAAAAAGTCTCAGGTTCAATTACCAAGTAAACAAAAAGAAAATATTTATGATTTGAATGAGGATGAAGATGATGACATTGAAGATGAAATAGTTGACCATCAATCTGTCGATGAACATCATTCAGAAGAAGGTGGTGATTGTAAATCAATTGTTATTAATCATGATTTACTACCTGGTAGCTGTGATTCATGTCCATCATTATGTGATCATTCACAAGATTATGGTTACGCATCAGCAGAAAACAACAACCATAGTTACAGTACCAGCTCACCTGATGGTTCAGATGTAGCATGTTCTGAAGGGTTTTGCAATCATCCAGGAGGTAATTTAGTAAAAAATTTATCCATAAAATTAAAATAGCTTTTTTATTTCAGTAAATAAACTGAAATCAAACCTTGTTTGGAAATTTTACATATCAATAATTTATATTGTTATCCAAACTTAATTTTTTTTTTTTTGTCAACACTTTTTTGTGTGACAACATAATTTTAAAAATGTTTTATATTCATTATATTTAATATTAAATAGGTAATTTTTATTTAAAAAAAAAAAAAACTAGTTATTATTATTTATTTATTTTTTCCATTTACTCGTATTATTTAATTTCATAAATCTGAAAATTAAATTTATTAAATTATTTCATTAATAAATAATTAGTTGGATGATGTTTTTTAATGTTGAGTTGAGTTTTAATTATTTCAAGCCGAGTTGAATTCAAATTTTGAATACTCAAAAAATGCCGAGTACTTGAGAAAATAATTGAGTATTCAGAAAAAAAGTCTCAAATATTTGTATAAAATGTCATTAACATAATAATAAAATATCAAAGCAATAACAATTTATTGTTATTAATTTAAACAAAATCTTCCTGGTATCCTGGTATTTTCTATCAGAAATATTTGTCTCCTAGTTATTTAGTTTGAACATTAATAAATTAATAAAGTAGTGATATTCACTCTAGTTTTTGATTCAAGTTGAGAGTACTTGATTGCAGTGGAGTTGAGTGCTCAAACTTGACAATTTCGACTGTTAAATTATAGTTTATAATTCAATAGTTTAAATTAATTTAATAGTCTTTGTCATAATTAATTTAACATAAACTTGCATGCTAGAAGAATCTAATTAATTTTGAAATATTTGTATAATTATAGAGTTGGACAAGTACTCGACTTTGTATTCTTCTAGCATGCAAATTTATGTTAGATTAATTGTGACAGACTATTAAATTAATTTAAACTATTGTGATAAAAATGTTTATTACCTTAATATAAAATTATTAATTTATAATTATTATTCACAAACAAAATATAGAACTCATTAATATATTTAAAAAAATGATCTGCATAAACTTTAAATGGTGTCTTGTTCGTTGTACACACATCAATATTTTAATATTATTTCTCTGAATTATTATTTTATTATATATTTTACTTTACTATGTAATTTTGTTTCAGGAGACAGTCAGTTGTTAAAGATGAAATGTTATTCAAGCACAGGAACAGTATCCTGCAAACCATTGCCACTTCATCAGTTATTAATAGAAGAACTGGTTAGTAACAATTAAGAAAAAAATGAATTTACATTTAATTATTTAATATAATATCTATTTTCTATAGGAGAAGAATGCAATTATTGTAGATGATACCGTCATACCATCAGAGGAAGTGGAAATGTACAAAGTCTGTGCTAGGTTGGTGAATGAGAAACGTCTAAAACTTAGAGAGATGCTGAAGAGTGGTTTTGCTAATTTAAAAGACCTTCAAATCTTGTGAGTCATGTTGGAGTGTTATTCTCACTTCCCTTATTCCAAACATTTTTAAGAAAACCGTTATAGTTAATTTTTTCATTATACTTATATAATATAGAACATTTTTTTTCTTTATTTGCATACATAAAAAATATTTCGTTTAGTTGATATTTGTGAATAATTTGTTCTGACCATTTTGATTAGATCAATACAAATTTATTTAAGAATATTTTTTATATTATAAATTTAAATTTATTAGTGGAATATAAATAGTTTATTTGATAACCATTATTAAAAAAAAAAAGCTATGCCCTATTATACTATTTTTGTTTAAATTTGTTGTTTCCTACTTTTTATGATCTAAACAATTTATAAAATTTAAAATAGGTCTAAACAGACAACCAAATGGACTATTATTTTGGCTCATTGTATGATATTAAATTTTATGGTAAAATTATTATCTGTTTTGATATTATACATTTTGATTAATGCAGTAATTTTGATGTACAATGTCAAACTCTCAAATGGAAAACTTCCATGAAAAACATGTTATAAAGTACTTGAAGTGTTTGCTCTAAATTCTAAATGAACAATATATTTTATTACAAAGTCTATAATGAAAGCCTAAAGCAAAACGAGCTCGTATTTTTGTCATGTCTGTTTATTGTATAGATATGTTACCATTTTATTAAGTTTAAATTTATTTAAATCTAAATAAAACGTTTGTTATAGTAAAACTTTAATTTTAGATGAGAAGTTGAGAAGTATATTCTTTATTGGTTACTATGCGTATTTTATTAAGTATAATTAAAATATTAGTTTCTTAAATATTAGGCAAGAACCAATGATGACGTTAAAAAAGTAAAAGTATTTTATTATGAAATTACTGATATAGTTTTATTCAATTATTACAAGTGCAATACAATATTAATAAGCTATATATAGTTAACTATGAATTATGTGTAATCACTAAATGAAATTATTAATATAAATATCAAATTCATAACATTTTATACATAAAGTATTGTTCATTTGAATGCGTTATAATAATATGTGGTTTTTCAAACAACTTGGTATAAAGAATTCTTTTACGTTTTGCTCTAACAAACAACCTATAAGTACATTAGTGTCGACAATTTTTCCATGAACTAAATGTAAAAATTCTTGTTTGTCTTTACTCGACCAATAAATTCTCAATCGTTTGCTAATGTAATCCCCAGATAATGACAATAAGGCCACTGGAATATAATCTTTACGACTAACAGAATATAGTTCAACTTGAGCCCTTAAACTTTCCCATACATCTAACGTGGAAACTGATGAATAAACTATGCGATATTCTAAACCAATATTTTCATATAAATGTTTGTATACTGTAAGAGTTTTATCAAACTCTTGTTTAGCTTCAGATTCGTTCATCGTGCCAATAAAAAGTTCAACAGCATTTGTTTGTGCAGCAGTAAAAAGTCCATCATTATTTACAGAAGGCTTATATGTACGTCCACAAGTGTAAAGTTTAAGTGGCAGTTTATTTCCGCCAACACATTGTTTAGTGAAGAAAGCACAGAAAGACTGAAGACTTGCTCCACCAACTAGGTACAGGTTACTTTCACTAAGAGTAAAAATCTTATTCGCATCATTAATATCTACACCGCATCCTTCGATGATAACACTCTTAATAAGGTCAGAGTTGCAAAGTGGTATATAATCCATCTCATCGAGAGATTGATTGAAATAAGTGATCACTGCTTGTTCACAGAGAGCTGCTTCGTTCTTAAGATAAAATATGACAGAATTTACATAGTCCAAACAACCTAAGGCCTTGCCAATTTCTAAATGGTTTAAACAATTTTCATTATCAATTTTTGTTCTCCCATCTTGTTGGAATAAAATTTTGTATTCAGATAATGGACAATGGGGATGCAAGCTATTGGGTATACCAAGACTAGGAATAATAATTTCTTTTTCTATAGTAGAAATTTGTTCCCTCAGTAACTTTAATCTTGCCATAACTTTTGATCTACTCTCTTTAAGTTTGTTTAGCTCATTATAATTATTTTCCTTTTTAATTTTTTTTAGTTGTTCAGCCAGTTTTTGTTTTTCATTATTCAAACTAACCAGTTCATTTCGTACGTTTAAAAAAATTGACCAACCATCACATATTTTATCCACATCAATATTCAAACCTCTCAGAGTAACATTATCTTTTAAAGTTTTGATATTTTTCAAATGGTTCTCCAAGTTCACAAATGGTTCAACGACAACACAAACATCTGATGTTTGATTATACGGTATATATAATTTCGAAGTACTGTATTTATTATTTACCTTCAAAAGGGAATGAACACGAGAAAACAATTTTTTAATCATTGTAAATCTATATTTAATGAACAAATATCAGCGACTTCTTCGGGTTCTTTATACTCTTCAACATTCAATGGTTGTGTAGCAATGACTCTTTCTTTTGGCGCTATGTAACTTCCAAAACCAGCTGCTCGTTCAGCTTCTTCAATGGTGTAAGGTTCAAGTCTGAGTTCCTTAATACGTTTTTTATGTAATTTTGTACGGAAATGATCTTGTAGGACTTGATCGCTCAAAAAATAACGTCTAATGACAATAGTAAATTAAAATTAGTTAAATGATAATTTGAATCATAATTTATTTATAAGAATATGGTACTCACGCACAGTGTATACAATAATGTTGTCCTTCACCAGGTTTATCAAAATCAAGAGCTTGTTTCAATAAGCGATCAGCATTTTCTTTTTTCAAGTCGTTATCAACCTAAGGTAAAACATGAGTATGAATAAAACTGTAAGAGATGAAAATATGCAATTGGAAAAATGAAGTTACAGTCAAGATAGCAGTACTTATTTTGTTTATTTCATAAATAATATTTGTAGACTATTGAGAAATTAAGTTTTTGTTGACAGTTTTGAACTGTTAATATGATGATTTAGATTGATTAAAAAGAGCGATAAATATATGTTTAAAACATGATCAAAATCATTAAATTAAAACTACTAATAATATATAATATGAAGTCTGACAGAGACATTGAGTGAATAACATAAGGTAATGAAAAGCTTAATCCCAGTAATCAAGACTTGCGGTGTTACTGCGATTTGGCTAATTGTTCAGAAATGATTGGTTTAAAGATTAAAAATATCCAAGTATCAATTCCAGATGATATACTATGGTAAAATTCTAGTAAGATAAATTTTAGAAAGATTTTTATGTTCCCAACAGGATTTGCGGAACGATTCTAGTTTAGCAACCTATTAATTTTTTTAATTTTTTTTTCTTCCAAAATGTATGTTTTAGGGTGTTTTATAAGTATGTAAAAAAAAGAACCCCGGAAAAACTTTGTTATGAAGTTATCGATGAAAAACTTCAAAAACTTAAAGTGATATTTTCCCCTTCCAAATTTCGATTTGTCAATTTCAACAACTGACCCAGGTCCATCTACATACGAAGTATTTATGAAGAATAATTCACTAAAAATTATCTAATAGTGTGAAAATGAAATGAAAATTTTTTCCAAACGATGCGTGTGGTATCAGCAATAGCCAATGAAACTATTATACGAGTGTTTCGGCACTCGTTGCTGCGCTCCTTGGCGCCGTCGCTTCGCTCTGCAAATCGAAGATATCCTTCGACTTACTATGCAAAACTACCTCAAGTAGTTAACAGAGACAATAAAAATGTAAATATGTGAAAATTGAAATTAAATATTTAATTCTAAGTATTTTTTTAAAAAAAAATGTGTGTTATGAAAAAAATGAAGTTTTTCATCGATAACTTCAAAACGAAGTTTGACCGGGCTACTTTTTTTTAGTATACTTATAAAACATCCTAGAACAAACATTTTGGGGGGAAAAAAAATTAAAAAAATCGATAGGTTGCTAAACTAGAATTATGCCGGAGTTGCGAAGAGGAAATACTTTGAAGTATTTAGCATCGAAATGTTATCGCGTTCGCGTGCGTACCTCGTCTATGTCTCTGGCCCTGTATTTGGTTCTGTACCTCCGTTTGTAAAACGTGTCTCCCACATGATGTTTCTTCTTCTTCTGCGGTCCGGTCATCTGCAAGGATAACAAATATTCAAATTATCGATCTCACGCACACTTTAATCGAGAACAACAACAATGGTAATAATAATAGTTATCGCGCGACACCCATCCGTCGGGCGGACATACGCGCATCGTTACCCTTGCAGCACGGACGGAAGAAATAACCGTTAACGAATTCGATAATTAATTGAAAAATACTTGCCGCTTCGTCGAGGAGGTCAGTGGAGACGCGGAGAAAAGAGATCCGACAATAATAACAATACTGTCTTCGACGGGACGTCCAACAAACTACGTACCATAACCTCAAATGGTTGGCACGTTTTTTCCTGCGCGCACCTTCGCCCGAACGGCAAATCCTCGTCATATGTTTTCGTCGCGAACGCGATAACACCATGGATGACGTTAATTTTTCATCTGTGATAACGTGTCGGAGCCACAGCTTGTTCCACGGTCTAAACTACTATAAATGCGATTGAGCTAGAGCCATGGCCGGTTCAAGGTATAGGCAAGCTAGGCACCTACCTAGTAGGGGCGGCATTTTCAAAATTGACTCGTACATTTTTTTTATTTCTATCGGTGTTTTACAAGAAAAATATTTAAATTAATTCATTCGTGAAAACCACTTACCTATATAATAAAACAATATTGTCTAAAATTATTGTATTACTTTACAGTACGGCCTACGCCGGACGTTTTCAACTATTCCAAAAATATAAATAACCATAATTATTTCCGACAGTCGCAATGATGACGGGTTTTGAGTAACAATTATAGAAATCATTTTAAAGTCTTTTTACGCATTTTTTTATGTAGATATATCACGTAAAAAATAGGGGGAGGATCTAAGTTAAAATGAGAGCTCAATTTTTTTTTTCTAGAGGCGGCAAAATTTGATTTTGCCTAGTGCACTATTTTTGCTTGGGCCGGCCCCGACTAGAGCCTATTCAATGGGTTCGGTACCAAGAGGGGGCAAGGTATTTAAATTTTTTAATTTTCGTTTCATTATTAATTAGTGATAAAGTACCTTATTGTTTTTGACGTGTTTTCTATCATATAGGTAGGAACATAAAAAATTTAATTATTAGTTATGTGTATAGTTAGAACATTAGAACTTAATCTTACAGTCAGGGGCGGATTGGCAATTATTTTCAGCCCGGGAAATATGAAACAAACCGGCCCATGAACCGCAAATTAAACTATTTTACCTCTCCCCCTCCCAAAAAATGCTTTATTTTACATAAATTTTAAAATTTGTTTAGTTTTACCCCTAAATTAGTAAAATCTACAATAATTTTACTATAATTATAGCTATAATAGTTTTGGATAAGTCACATGATTAATCAGTTCCTAACTTGAAGTTTGATCTTAATGCATATTTAAATATATATTTATTTATTTTATAATATAAAACTTTTTTTTGGTAATTATATAATAATATAGAGCGGCTCAAACAAGGACCGACAAAATTCCCGATTTCCCGATAGGCCAATCCGCCCCTGCTTACAGTATTCATTTTAATTAATTAATGTGCAACTTTAAATCAAGAAACGCGTTTTTTTTTATATACAAATAAAATCAATGATTTGATAATTTTAGGTTACTTATAAAATTAAATGTTTCTAACTTCTATAAAATAAATAAAGAACTACCAATTACCAAATAATTTGGTATTTACCAATAAATATTCACATATAAAAGTCGAAATAGTGCATCGAAAACCGATAGTTATATTAATAGTGAGTAATATAGTGATATTGCTGCAAAAATCAGTTTAGATGATGAAGTAGATGTATTTTCAAAAATGAAAAATAGAAGATATCCACTTAAAGCTTAAATTAATTTAGGATTAAGTTAGATTAAGTTAACCTTGTTTAGGTAATGTTTATAAAATACAAAATTATATTTTGCAAAAATTTATGTTGTATAATAATATAGGTAATAAATAAATTATGTACCGTATGTATAAGTTAAAACGTGTGAGCGAAACTCTATATTTCCCCCGGTAGTATGGGCCGGTCAAAAATGTTGCTCCCTCCCCCTATCAAAAACTGAAATGATTCCACTGTCTCTCACGCAGTGTTGCTTCTGTGGTGTGCGATCGACCTAATAAAGGACAATCGGCGGTGGCCCACCGTTTCCCGTTTCGAATATTAGCGGCAACTTGTTATCACGTGGCCGTTATCAATCCACGTCATCGGTGGGCGGCGCGCGCTCGATCGTGCGTATCACTTTCCGCTGGACCGCTAATGGAAACACCCCCTTCCCTCTCGCGGCCACCGCCACCGCTTTATCATCGGGTTTTATGGTCGCACGGGTGATATAGTGCGTTTCTCGACTCGCACAAGCTATCGTTCAAATCCGTTCTCCGTTTTCCTCGACGTCTTCCCTCCCCCCCTCGAGTCACGCGAGTTTCTCTCGTCTTTCGCAATCCACTGTGATATTATTATTATAATTATGTAGCGTTTTACGAACTGTTTGCCAACAAAAAACCTGAACGATCACCCGTCCCGTCCCCGCGAACGGTTTCCGACTCGTCTATTTTGTACAGCGGTAGTACGGAAAATAGACCCCCATGCGTCGGGCGGTACAGTTCCGTTCGCGGTAGAAAAGTCGGAAAAGACGTTGAGAAGAAGTGTTAACACAGAATGAAATGAAAAATCAACGCTAATAACTAAACCAACGATGTAACGTTGTGTACCGTTTATCACAGCTATACCGCACTCGTTCGTTCGCTGCGTCGATCGCAGATGTCGAATTTTAGAGTTTATTCTACCTCAAAGACTGATCGCGGCACGATTCGCCGTACCGATATGACTGACACACCGTTAGGGAACATAGTGAACACTTAACCGTATACATTCGTGTATAGGATAGCGCGTGCCTGCACGGTTTCTCAATAATCAGTACATATCGAATTGGACAGTAATTGTTGATGAAGTAAGTCCGGTTTTGTTGTTGTGTCCAAAGTGCCTGCAGCTAACCGATAAACGTTATTGTTATATTGTCTCTGCATTAGTGTAGGAGGGATAGAAATTGACGTCAAGCGGCAAAAGTCGCGATGCAAAAAGAAGGCAAGCCTAGGTTTCTCAAACATCACAGTAACAGTGTTCGGGGAGTAGCGTTCAGTCCTCGTGTACGTATTCATCACATGCTTTGTTTATGATTGTTTTTCTATGTGATGCTAAATATCAACATAACTATTCCAGGACCGTTACTTGTTCTGTTCTGGAGCATACGATGGAAAAGTAAATCTCTACTCATCATTGCGTATGGAATTGCTCATGTCATATTCTATCACCACAATGGCTGTTGCTAAAAATGTAAATGCCGTAAGATTCACTTCGGATGGCTCAAGGGTAAATATTATGTTGCATAATTTACACAGATATAATTAATTAAGTTGGATATAGTGTTGTTATTGGTTTTAGAATAGTAATAATTTTAATATATTCTAAAATCAATGGTGTTGCATAGTATTCTTACTATAACCTATATGTAATTTATATAGTCTACCAACAGCTCAACTTTTACATTTATAATACTCTGTAAACTTTAAGCTAGTAATATTGTGCAAACTACAATAATCTCATTATTTTAAAAAAAATATAACAGCATTGTGAGTATCTTATACTCTTTTAGAGATTTATTTTGCATTTACATTCTAGTATTACTTTTTATGTAAACAATTTACAGCTATTAAAAATTAATTTGTTATTAAATACGATAAAAGCTTGTAATTATTAAGTTTTTATTGTAGTTGGTGTAGTATTATAGCCTTTTAAAGTTTAGAAATAAGTTTTCCGTAATTACTTAATTGAAAAATATAGACCACAAAATAAATAACTCAATCACCAATGGTTTATTTTTCAAACATTAATTTAGAAATCTTTTTATTAACTCAATACAATCTTGTGATTTCATGCTTTTATTTGATTATTTCTTATATTAAATACTAATAATAAGTAAGAACTTAAATGTTTGTAATTTTTGTGTGAGTAGCTAATTTAAACAATATAAAAATGTATGATTAAAAACCACAAAAACAACTTATTATTAACAACTAGTTAATACAATTTAAATTTTATGATGTTAAGAATTATTAAAAACTAAAAATGAGTATAATATTTGTGAGTAAAAGATTTAAAAATAACTAAATAAATTAAATTTAATACCACCTATGTATCAATTAATTTCTGTAATCTCACCAATTCATAAAAAAAACCTAGACTTAGTATTAAAAAAGCAAAATCATACATTTTTGATTTGTATACTTAGTAAATACATTTGATTATATTCATATTTATTTATAATTGCAATATTTTTCCATGAAAATGAACTTCTTTTATTTTCTTTGAAGTTAATTTTAAAATTTGAATGATTTTATGAAAAATAATAGTATAATAAATAATCATTTAATTAAAACTATAGTTATTATATGTTGTAGATTTTAGCATGCACTACATCTAGGAGACTTTCAGTTGTAGATGTTGAACGAGGAGAACAACTATTAGCTTATGATAACTGTGCAGCCAGTGGTAGGGATAGAACAGGTCTGGCAACAGATCCTTCGTCACCCAACATCGCAGTATCTGTGGCAGTAAATGGCAAAGGTCTTACGTTATTAGATCTTCGAATGCCTTTACCATTAGATTATGTATATGATGTGAGTGTCTAAAATATATTATATTGATATCATATTTTGTTAGTTTACTTTGACATTTTATTTATTGTAATTATAATCTGTTTAGCTGCATTCTAGCACTATTCGTGATATAGTTTTTCTTGAATCATCGTGGCCCTGGGCAACTAGTAATGGACTACTTAGTACTCTTATCACTGCAGGTTCAGACGGTTGCTGTAAAGTATGTACAATGGATGGTCGAATATTGCATACATTTTATTCTGGTCGCCATTTGAATACAGTTTGCCCAACACCAGAACCATTTCAAAGTTTTTTATCCAATGGATTTTATAGTAAGCGAATTCTTAAATTAATTGAAACTTCTCATCAATGCTCCATCAACAAAATGTTTTATTGTTTATTTTTTTTAGGTGTAATTATGAGTGGAGGTGATAAAATTACATCATATGTCCCTAATTTGGGCATTCAAGAAAGTTTCTGTGAAAATCGTGATAAACCCATCTGGAAAGTTAGATATACATCAAATGGGAGCTTTTTATATTCTGTGTGTGAGGGTGGTGTTGTTAGAAAATACCGAAGGTATCCAGATAGGCATGAATATCTTGGAGAAGTATATACACATAAAGGAGATATACAGGACTTAGATATATCTCCATACGATGAGTGTATCCTTTTTGAAACAGTTTGTTTTTTGTAGACAGTTTATATTTATGTATAAAATTAATATTTATAAATAATCGTAATTTATAATAGTGAAATATGGGCATTATAAATCTGAAGGAAAAAATATTCTGATTTTCTATAACATTTCAGTAAGATTCATTTTTTTTTAAAAAACTTATCAGTTTTAGATTAATAATATTATTTATAGTATTTCTTTATCAGACTGTAAAATTTTCTAAATTTTAAAATATTTCAAGGCCATGAAGTAGGTTTAATTTTAAATTTGTTTAAATGTAATTTGTTAATTCTTTCTTATGTATATATATTTTAAAACATATTGTATTGATACATTATTGTAATTAAATAGTATGCTTTTTAATTCATAATAATATAATTATATAATATATTTATCAAATATTCCCCGTTTTTATAATTGTTAAAAAAAAAATGTTTCCTTGTTTGATGAGTTTATAAATGTTTTGAGAATCATGAAATAATTTTTTATTTATTAATGATTAACTATAAAATAATTTTTAAAATAATTTAGTTAAGATACTTCAGATAATATTTCTCCTTAATTTAGTTAATAATTAGATCTTATTACAGCATCAAAAGACCGAACAGTGGGAGTGCTGCGTTTAGGAGCTCCTAGTCATGGGTGGACAGATTATGGTGAACTAACGTGACAGCTTAAGCAATTTTTAGAATTAATACAAAATTAATATAATTACAAAATGTGAAAAATTGTATAATTCAAATATGTTTTAAGGGATTTTTTTTAAAACTTTGTAATGCCAACAGATGCACCAAATTTATGTGTGATATTTAATATATTAAATGTAAATTATACCATTTTGGGTAAATTTTATTTAACCAACAAATTATATTTAAAGTTAATTTTTAAACAAATATAGTTCTATATGTTACTTATTTAAAACAATAATTCTAAATTAGAATTTAATATTATATTTTTAATTTTTCGTATCCAAGTAAAAATATTTTTTGTTATAAAAAAAAACAATTTATTTGGTGGTTTGAAAATAAATGTTCAAACAAATAAACTGAATAATTTTAATTAAATGGTATTTAATTTATCTTTATTTTCACTTAAAAAATTAATTAACCTAATCTTATTAAATTATAATAATTCATTAATATTGAAAGAACTTTTATACTTATATAATTATTAACTCAAGTCAATTTTATAATTTTTCATAAGTTAATTTCATTTTTTTCAATTGCCATTTTTATTTACACCTGTATTTATCAATGCTATTGTGTTTTACAGGTGATAATTACCTAACCTTTAATTTAAACTTTAAAAAGAAATCTTAGCATATGAACTTATAACATTTATTCACATGTCACAACTTATTTCTTAATCATGTTTTATCATTTAATAATATATTATTATATTATTATATCTTAGCATATAATACATATAATAATTATATTTAATTGTAAAATCTGAACACAATCATAATTAAAAAAAAAAAAAAAAACATTTTTTAAAAATAATTTTAATTTTATTTGATTTTGATTTTTTGTGTTAAGTGTTAATATTTTTCTTTTTTTCAATATTTGGTACAAAGTATATACTTACATATATGTACACAGATATACTTTTTTTTTGGTTTAGTTTCATTTTATAAATTTTGTAAATGTTATACATTTTTGATCCTGTTTTCTTATACAAGTTTGGTATTTTAGAAATTTAACATTTATTTTTTATGGCTGTGTTTTACTATTTTGTGTTATTACATTTAATTTTATTGAATACCTCAAGCTTTAAATATGTTTTGAAGAAATATAAAAACAATAAATCATCATCGTATATTTATAGATTTCCGACTGTATAATTTTTTTCTGTTAAGTGTAATGAAAATGACATTTTATGAAACTATTTCATAAAGCATATTGTTTTTTTTAAATTTTAGTACATTTTGAACTTGAGTATTGGTTTTAAAAGTATAAATGTATTTTCTAATTATCAAATAAACAATAACACCAACATACAACTCAGATATTTTTGGAGTAAGTAAAAAGTGAATTTTTATAACAATTTATACATTCGTGGTATAGCCAGGATTTTTAAAAGGGTATGGCCAATAAAAAAATCTTACAAAATTAAATTTATATTGTTTTCGCCAAAAAAAAAAAAAATTTAGAATAATCTGTGTACTTACTTATTATTTGACCACATATAATATTAAATACATCCTGAAATTAATAAAATATATAACAACTTTTTTTTTATAATAATTTTTTGACAAGAACTAAATAAATATAATTTAAATATTTTTAATATTTTAGGTATAAATATGTACAATGACTTCAATCTACAACTCTCATCATCCTAGGTGAATTTTTAATAAGTATTTCTTTTTATATGTTTTCATATGCTTCTAAATCTTTATCAGCCTTCTATACTACACTAGATAAAGAAACTACTAGAATTAGTATGTACTTATATACTTTTTATTTATAGTCTATGGACCTGCTGATATGAAATCAATAATAATAAAAAAAAATATATAGTCGATAGGGGGGGGGGACATATCAATAAATATATATTATTTTTTAGCCAACATAAAATACCAAGAATTGAGCACAAATGTATGCTCTCGTCTACACATTCAATCTATTTTTTACCCGATCTGGATAAATAGATTAAGACACTAACTTCCTCCATAATGGTCATTGTCAGTTATTGTATTTATATTGCCAAAGATGTGTAGGTAGTCGTTAACCAACTGAAAACACGATAGATTATTGAACATGCGAATATTTCCTACGATTGACAATTGTATTGGTGGAATATTTTAGAGCGCTCATTAAGGGAGGGGGAAGATCTACAAATAGATTTTCTGTCAAGTCTGGTGTTCTCAAATCCTTTAAGAAACCAACTGGAAAAACTCGTCCTAGTAAGTAAGGACTTATATAACAAATGAATTATTTTATAATAAATTTTAACAACTTAAGCAAATATTCAGATTCAATGTCGCACGTGTTCTGCGAACCAAACGTATGACTGGGCGGGTTAAAAGTCTTTACTGACATCGTATAAACTTAAATTAAGTACAGAGCATGTATGTAATAATAGACGCACTCGCTCAAACGAGTTCGTGACTGCTGGAAACATCTTTGATATCCTTCTATTGGTGTGGCCCCGAAATTTGCTGCCTATCGCATTGATCGTAATTGGTCTTCAACCTACGTAAAACGTTGACTTTCAGAGTCTAAATTTTAATGTCGGAAACAGCCGGAAGTCACACGGTGCAATATCCGGTTGTGGAATCGTGGACATTCTTTTTGTCAGCTAAAAATTGCAGGACCACTAAAGATAAATGATGCGTTTCACAAAAACCGATCATTTTCCCGGCATTTTTTAACGAATCAAACCTCATAAACGGTTTAAAAAATCATCACAAAAATCAGAGTGGACTGTTTGTAGTTCATTCGGTACGAATTCCCAATGGATTAATAAATTTTATCCGATTTCAAAACGAAACTTAATGTTTGCCGTCTTGTAACGTATTAAAAAAAACCCCTAAGCCCTGTTACGTATGCATACGATTACAGGCAAACGCGAGACTAATATAGTTTTAAAGACCAAACCTATAAAGAACAAATTACATCTACTTTTATTACCAATAGTCAGATATTTGACTAGACGAAAAATTTTTGTTTTCTTTCAACAATTAAATCCCGGAAACTTTTCGATTCTACCACGTAAGTCAACATGTCATGTTGTTGTCGCTGCACACAAATTGCGTTCCGAAATCCCTTTTCCACACGAATTGCGTCCCAACGCAAAAATACATAATTTCCCATCCTATTTCATACAGACTTAGAACTGTCGATAGCATATTATGACAATCGGTAGGTTAAAACTATATTGATTTTTTTCGTTGTTATTCTATAAGAAATAAGTAAAATGAAAATGTTTAGGTTTCAATTATAGGAGTGTAATATAATAATTGAAATAAATGATAATGAAATAAAAAAAAATCGGTAAAATCGTACTTATTAAGACGGATTAATTGGCCATTTTCATATTTCACCTTAAATAATTTTCTTCACATACCATCGTCCATCTGTTTTTAGTTACACGCATATTTGTTGTTCAATATAAGCTTCTATATGTACATTTTTTTAAAACATCTATGAATTGGATTATATTCAGGTGTGCTGAATAAAACATACTTTTAAACTTGGAGCGGGACAGTTATTCGTAGTTCAAATTGTAGAACATGAATACATTGCTCACATAAAAAGCATCAGGTGGACGCAATCAGGCTCAACGTACGTATTTAATGTGTAATCGAAATATTGCTGTACTTTTTCATCTTCGGGTGAAATTGATACAATATCGTCAGTAAAACAATTCTTTACTTCGTCTGGTTTTAAAAACGGGAGGGCAAAAAAATAATTTCTTGTAGTCGTTTAAATAAAACCGGACGCAATTCATGTAGTTCATTTAGATTAATACGGACGCAATTCGTGTACCTATTTATCAACATTTTTTTTTTTTAGGACGCAATTCTTGTGTAGCCGTTGTTTTCCATTTCGATGAAGATTAAGTATTCATTGTTTGTGCAAATGCCTTTCAATATTAATTAAATGATCGACGGGCGCATTACCTATTTAAGTTCAAATCATAGTTAAATACGTTTTCCGATCATTTGTAGCTTACATTTTACCATGGTTCCTGTGAGCTGTTCACGTTTGTTCCATTAAACTGCAGTTCGCGATTCACAGGTATGTTCAACCGTTTCAGGTTAACATCTCGTTAATTGTCTGGAACGTGTTTCATAATCACCCGGTTGTTAACACGAGTCAAAATTTGCATCATAACAATACGAAAGAATGTTATATAAGTACTTAGTTACACGTTCGATCCTGAACCCGGTTTATAAACTATTAGCAATCAGAAAATAAGCCCGAACCGTTTATTTCAGTGCTGCGCTCATTGTTGAAAATACAATCTGGTTATAATTTTTCCAAAGTAATATTGCACCAATTAGATGGCTTAAGTCTTTAAAACATTTGCGTCAAGGCTACAATGGAGGGGTTAATATGTCTGGAAAAAATCAAGGCGTACAAGCTCGAATATTAAATTTATTGCACCTTGTTTCGTACACACATTGCGCTTTGCATTGATAAAATTTAAGTATATCAAATGCATGTTCTGTAGTACCGGAACGTTTTTGACCACATACAAGAGGTTATATATTTATTCCGTGCGTCGCCAAAACGAATTTTACTCTTAAAGACTAAATCAATGAAAGTGTTATCAAATTCTAAATCATGTAGATTTCAATTCTTATGTGAAATACTCGTGCGCAGGATTGAACGTCACGATGCGATTCTTCAATGTTTTGAATTATACGACATTATTATTAATTACTTGGATGAATTTGGAAACTCTCATAAGGAAACTATGCTCACTATTAGTAAAGCTAATACATTTACTTAATCGTATATCAGAATTTTAATTTTTAATTACACTTCAAGTTTTAGCAGAATTATTTTCAACTACCTACTTTGTCTCTTTCAATGCAACTGCAAAATCAAGTATTAGTTAGCACTAATAAATTAAATATAAAGTAGAAAAGTGTAAAAATTTTTTCTTCTTTTTTTTCTGAGCACCCTTGTTAACATTTTCTGTATCCGTACCTGGTTATTGTATCAAAATTAAAAAATCGAACTATATTGGCAAGAGATGATGATTCGTGAATGCATTGGATGAATTGTGTGCATCTCCTCTGTGTTTAATAAATACGAGTGCACGGATTCTCGATCAATCACGTATTATTCAAAGTACTTTTTTTCCTTTGACTCCTAACCTC